TTACTCGAGGATTGAACCTCTGCCGTTTCCCAGGAAGCACAGCTTTGAGTGGTAACTAGGTGACTCCCAGAGAGTAAACCAGAGAAACTTATCGGACTGATCAGATCAGCTCTCTGACCAACCAGTCGCCTGGAACGCTGGTTGAAAAGAGCATCACTTTGGACGATCCGCTGCACAGGTTTCACCAGCATGTTCACTGCTCGGTTCGCCGTCGCCTCCACTAAAACCACCATCATACTTTACATCAGACACCGGAGCAGATGATGGGCCTGCTGTTGGGAACATGTCAGTCAGTTTGACACATTTAGCAGCGTCTGTTTGAAGAACTTGTTTCTTTGCGTTTCTTCTCCATCACTACTGTGAACACCGCTGCACAAAGTTCCAATGGAGAGTGAAGGTGTTTTTCTACTTTCTGATTGGCCTAGCCCTTTAGACTGTCAGGGATGATAACCAATGGGCTGCATTGGAACAGACTCTAGAGCTGCTGATTTTATTTTTCTTCATGCATTATGCAAATATAACGAGGCCGATATATAATATAATATTGTATATATTATAATATATAAAAAAATATATAATAATAATAATAATAATACATATTATTAATATACATGTCGGGTCTGCCGGCCCAAACAGCACGTCGGCCCACTGGGCAAATGCCCGGTACGCCCGATTACCAGTCCATGCCTGGTTGTGAGATGATATCCATAGATGGCCTAAGACTACAGAGGAATACTTACTAGGAAACCAGAAGAACAACATTTCCTCATGGTACCAGATGTAATGAGTCAGATATAAAAGGTGCAGTGGTAATGGTTTCTAATGACCGTCCATCCAAAGCCACCAACCTGAAAGCTTGCTGGAAATTATTCATGCCAAAGGAAGATTGAGTTACACCCGACACTGACCCTAGTGCTACTGAAGGGCTAAATGGCTGGTTATACTCCCACAGCAGTGAGTCGCAGTCAGCTTGTTGCAGGTATGACGCGGATATTTTTGAGTAATGCCCAATTTTGAGAAGTGGTCTGTGCTATGTTATTCCACGCCCCAAAGCAAGAGGTACACACAAGCAGACAACCTGGACCTGGTGCAGTTCCATCTGAAATTACATGAAACACCACAACAAAAGGCAAAGTCTGGATCTTAAGGATCTCGCTATTTCTTCAGGGGACATACCATAGGAGTGGTTATTTGCTTTGCCACTGACTGATCTCATGTCTGCACGCTTTTTTTCTGGACATTAACCCTGCTTCTTTTCCCTGGTTTCTGTCTCCAGCTAAAACCCCTGTATTGGACTTATTTCCCCAGCTCTGACTCTGTTTACGGTTAGTAAATCTCCCTCCGGATTATCATGAATCTTTGTGTGAATTTCTGGACAGATCTGGGTAAAAGTCCCATCTTATTCGAGCTCTAATCATGGCCAAACAGTTAATTCTGCACATACATGGATAAATTCACCACAACTTCTGTTCAAAATATAATAGTTTATTAAAAAAAATCATTCAGCTTCAAGTCTAACATCTTTCAGTTTAACACTCTCAACTAAGACTAGTAAAACTCAACTAAACTACTATGTACAAAGAGGAAGGGGAAACAGTTAAAAACCATATTACAGTTTAAGATGGATTTTGTGTTTGAAAACCAAAGTTTATCTGGAAGAATTTGGGATATGATCAAATTAGCTTTTCACTAATTTAGAGAAATTGGAATGTTTTCAGACCAATTCACTGCATGTGGGTCCGAGCTTTAGATAAAATCATGACTTGTCCAAGCTTCAGCAACAGTTCAACACATATTCCAAAAGGTCTGTTTTGCAGCAGTTTGGTTCTGAAGGTTTCTGACCTATCCTTGATGGTTCTGGAGAACTGGTTCCCCTAGGGCCCGCATCTTCACCAGCCAAAGCGGACCCCAGGACCCTAAGAGAGAGGAGACAAAGAGCGCAGGAGGCAAAGAGAGACAGAATATTGTGTGCTCTGTTATTTTGTCTGTCTGTCAATAGTTTAACTGCAGCTCTGAGCTTACCGCACCGTAACATCAGTGCTGGAAGATGTCAGGAGTGAGGTGTTAATATATTTGGGTAAAAATGTCCGCTACGAGATCGCAATGAAAATTATTTTTTTTATTTTTTTTCCTGACTACCGCAAAATTCATTAAATCACAACAACATCAAACATATTAGTTTAAGGTATAGATAATGATCCAATGGTTATTCCTTGCTGACCAGACTTTTCCTTTAAGTTACCATTTTCTTGCTGTTATTAAGTTTTATACCAGGTATTCTCCGCTGTATTACTATGTATGCATTATTTATTGTTTTTCAAAGGTATACATAAATGTTTATGTAGAGTATTGTTATTATAATAGGTTTCTTAAGCCATGTCTTCTATTCCCTTCACTTCACTGTATGAATTGCACCCTGGTTGTCTGTGTCTTTGCTGATGTCTTTCATTGCATCTATCACATCTATGAATTCCATCCAGCCTCAGTATTTTTTCTATTTGTTTCGTTGCCTGTCCTACTCATTCATTCTCCAGGTTTATTACAGTAAATTTCTTTATTTATCATTGAAGATTCCTCTCAACTTACCCCTGCTTCGGTCTGTTTGAGTCCCATACAAACCAGTCATGACCTTAAGTTGTGATTTTACGCAGGTGAAGATTCTCAGTCATTCCGGTCATAGTCATTCCAAAAAAGTAAAAAAAAAAAACAATCCACTGGACTTTGTTTCCAAGTTTGAAGACATTTCACTTCCCATCCAGGACACTTTTTCAGTTCAAAATGTCAGGAATAGCGTTGAGTTCAAGGTTTATATACGTTAGCCCAACAAAGTCTTGTTTTCGTTTAGAAAAAATGCAAATTTTAATGGACGAACGAGACCACCCCTTTGGAATTGGGGTTGTTCGGCTTCTTTTGTTAGCCTGCAAAGCCCCAGGAACTTGGGGCCCCAGGCAACTGCCTAGTGTTGCCTAATGGTAAATCCCCCCTGTATGAAAGAGCGAAAAAATTGAATAATTAAGACAAGGCAGAACATTTAGCAAGAATTTATTAACATGCAAAAGAAAGATAATCTTACTACTGAGAAAAAGACAAAGGACTTTGGGAACACTGAATGAAGGGGAAATTCAAAATAATCTAAACATCAGGTTCCCAAATTATGGATTCAGATAATGCTCCAAAAAAGAAAAAAAAGCAACTCCATGAAATGATCAGATTAAATATTCTTACAGAGAGGAACAAAGAGACTCTTAGAAAACTATTGAACAGAATCACAACTTTTTTTTTTTAGATGGAACTGAAGACTTAAATATCTTCTAAAAATGTATTCAATCATGTTCTTAGCATCTAATGTAGGCCTAACAATATGTATTTTTTGAACTCCCAAATTAAGTTTAACCTATTCCATTAGCCCAGAATTTCAGTCAAGACAACGCTTTAGTGTTTTTGCTTTTTTAATTCAATTTAGTAAAAAGAGTTTGGTCAGAAAACAATGATGCCGTTATTTGATTTTTTTTATTATAAAATTATTCAGATATGTAAGGATGAAACATTTATTTGGGACGGACTGGGCCCCAAATATTTCAAATCCCAATAACTCATCTTTCTGAACAGCAAAATTCCCATTAGTCAAAAAGACTTTTGGGAATTTTTTTGCTTTCTTGCTTCATCCTCACACTATTTCAATATCTGTGCTGTTTTTGTCAGTTATTTAATCCCTTCCCTATAAAAGCTTCTTTTTCTTCTTCTTACATTTGATTGGCTGATTGCAAACAACTTATAGATGAATACTGCCACCTAATGTACAAGAGTGTGCAGCTTTAAAGTTTCACCTACTCTATTCTATTTTTTTATTTTGTGTTATGTAAAAATAAAAACAGTTCTTTATTAATGACCTAATTTCCTCCCTATCTCCATCTGTCCCTAAAATGTAATACTCAGTTCTCTCCCTTCTAGGGTGACCATATTTTCATTTGGGAAAACCAGGACACCTTGGAGCGGTTAACAAAAAAAAAAATAAATAAATAAAAAATACCTCTTGTGTAGCAAAAACGTACCAAAATGTACCAAAAACGAACAAACATATCAATAGACTATCTTTACTTTCAGTGTCCAGGTGGCTTTTCAGATTCCTTGCCCCTCCATTGGACACCGAGACATATGTGCCTGCTTTGCACACAGTGCACAAGGCATTCCATTAGTCTCGATCCGGTCTGAAAGCGGGGAAACTCTTTTGTAAATCATCGGTAAACATACATTTGCACTTTGGCATGTTGTTGGCGTACTGACAGCCACGCTATCTATATTCTGATTAAGAACAGGGCTGCCCGCACTGCCGCGGCTCAGGGATTACTTCACACGCAGCGCCATGCGCAGTGCCCTAGTGCCTGTAAATTTAATGGTCCAATTAAGGTAATTTAAAAAATCAGGACATTTCCTCACTTTCTAAAAAAAAACCCGGGACACCCGGGACAGGACGTGAAATACGGACATGTCCTGGAAAATACGGACGTTTGGTCACCCTACTCCCTTCCCCCCAATCACTTCCCTCATCCGCTCTTTCAATTGCATAATTTTAGCAAATCATCAAAACATGATCCACATTTTCTTTTCCTCCACAACCCTCACAGATATCATTATTTATCTTCCCTAGTTTAAACAAAAACTCATTTAAGTAGGTGCGTCAAGTTCTTAGTCTCGTATAAATGATCTCTTCCCTTCTGCTTCTTTCTCCCTAATTTTTGTGTATTACAGATTTTTTTTAACCCTATATAATCTTCTTCCTTTCTCATGTTCATTCCAAGTTTTTGTGATATTTAAAAGCGTGTGTTTAATCAACCATCGATCACTTTACTAAGAAAACGAGCGTGTGTGTGAGACAAACAAAAGGAAACTCAACCCGGTCATGTTTTTGAATGCATGTATCACTCCGGTCCACCGTTAGTGCAACACCGGAAGTCAGATACCTATGAACTATGTTAAGATATGACCGTTTTTCTGCCGTACAGGCACATAGTTCAGAAAAAAGTAAAATGCTCATGTAGTCGCTTACCAGATTGTAAAGAATCAAATTTAACTGTTGAAAAAACAAACAGCTGAACAGTGATTTCCATTTTCAGACAATGTCTCCTCATAATATATCCTGTAAGACAAAACACTGGGTAAAGCGGACGTTCTAAGGAGGATGATGCGTTTTTTTTTATTATCGGCTGGTTTTCATGCTGTCAAACACTGATATACTTCTCTACACATTTCTTACTGATTGCAAGCTTTTAAGATTAAACACGTCAAATCGAAATATGATATAATCCAATGCGCTTTTCCCGGTGTTTTGTTCTGAAACGCTACGGAGCTATGGTACGTGGACAATATAATTAGTTGAGCAGGTTAGCTTATGGTAGCTAACTTTGCTATGCCGTGTTCTAACTAAACCAGGACAGTGGTGAATAAAAGCTTCCTGCAACTTCCAGGTTGGTATAAATTTTAAACTTATATGTAATGTTATTAAATGACCTTCGGTGAGAATGAATAGTTTGACCCATCATTTTTGCTCAATGGTTGTCTGGGATACAAATCGGTAACTTGGTATGTTTGTAGTGTTGATATAAATGTTTTCAGGTAACGTGAAGCGGAATAATCTGGAATATGTTAGTGACACTGGAGTTTATTCTGAACTGAAGCTACAGTAGGTGCTTCTGCTGCTTGCCGGTGTTCTGTCAGACCAGCATACCCTGTCAGAGCAGCATACCCACAGTCATGACCTGTTTATCCCTTTAGTTCGGACGTCTTCAACAGGGGGTCCACTAATTGAAATGTCTTTAAATCCACATTAACATGAATTCAACACACTGTAGTAAACAGATAAATGGAGGCAAAAGATGTCTTTCAGTCATCAATGCTCACATTCAGCGACACACAGCTCTTTCAAGCTGGGCACCGTTTCATTCACAACACCTGTCCCATCAACCAGGAATCAGAAATACTTTAATAATCCCAGGGAGAAATTACTTTAGTTACAATACTCCACCTGTAATAGAGTGACTATAGGACCAGTTTGATAGAACACAATTTCATACCATATATATGATTAGGGGGTCCCTGCTCCATCTCGCCATCAGTTTGGGGCCTGGAAAACTTTGAACACTCCTTTAGTTTAGGTTTAGTTTATCCCTTTAGTTTCGAATGAAAAATATACTATAAAATACCTTAATGGGCGTGTATTCCTTTAATCATGTACGAAAAAAAGTATTTAATTACTTACTTTTTGTTGTTTTTTGAAGCATATGGTGATATCAACTTAAATAGGTTTTTTTTGTTAATTACTAAAAGGATACACACCTGTTGAGGAAGTTTAAAGTTTATTTTTCATGCAAAATAAAGGGATAAATGCAAATCAGACGTATTGACTATGGGTATGTTTGTGTGATGGGGTATGCTGGTCTGGTCTGTCAATATCGTATCCACAAAATAATGTTCCATTTTATTGTCTCTGATGACATCTGCTGTCATTTTGGATAGCAGGACTGTGTAGGATCTTATGACTGACATGTTGCAATTTTAAAGGACAAGTCTGTTCATATGAGGAACTCAAACTTCTGAAAGTTCTTTAAATATGAAATTATTCCATCCTGTTCAATAAATGATCAGTGTTTTTAATTCAGAGTAATTTTCATGTGAATGTGCTTTACTGGAGGCATCCATGTTTGTCAAAGAACACTACTGCCACCTACTGGTTTGTGACGTCACGGTGCGGTATCGGCTGTTGATCAAGTCCCAGTGCTGTATCTGGTGTTTGTCACAACGCGCTATTATCCAAGTCATCTTGAAAACATTCTTCTTCCAAATGTTGGCTACATATTACGTGTTTTTTCTCTGGCCAGAAGTTCGATGGCAAATCCTCCCTCTTCAAGTTGGCGATCCAACAACCAAACCGTCCGTGGAGGATCATGAATCGGAAAGGTGAAATAACGCTTTTTTTTCTCTTTTACCTGATGTATTCCAACATCCAGCTGCCATGCACGTGGGCATTGTCAGTTTCACTATAGCTCTGGTGAATTTCAATGGTGAAGTCCTCTGGAAATCTTCAATAATTGTTGTTGATTGCAGATGTGTCTAGTAGTTCCCATTGATTTAGCTTGTAAAGCGGGGAGAATGGCGCTAGACTTACCGCACCGTGACGTCACTGCTGGAAGATGGCAGGAGGGGGGGTTACTAGATTTGGGCAAAAATGGACGCTAGTTTTTTTTACTGATTAATGCTAAATTCATTAAATCACCGCCAACGTATTAATTTTAGGTATAGATAATGATCCATTGATTATTCCTTGGTGACAAGCCTTTTCCTTTAAATTGAGAAAGTGATGTCAGAATAGGAGTGGGAGGGAAGAATGAGCAGAAGTAAATTGGGGTTTCTTTCATCAACCCCCAACCCCCCCCCCCACCCACCCCCTCTCCTGGTAACTGGACTTCTCCTTTAAAGAAAAAGGTATAAAGCACTTATCCTATTGTTGCAAAAGTTTGTCCTTCATTCTCTATTTATTTTTGGTAGAATTAGGAGTATACACAAATGCATAATTTATTTAATATAATATTCCCTTTGTTAATTAATTCCCCCAAAACATAATGATGAAGCCACCTCCTGCATGACAGCTAATCACATGTTACTAGTTTATAGTGCTAGAAAAAATGAAGCTTAATTGTGTAGCAGTAGGAATTAGGCATGGTTTTGTATTTGTCTTATAAATAAGAAATGAAGAAGGGTGTGGGGTGTTTGTTTAGCCCACATGTGACCCACCTCTCTGCCTCTAGCTGCAAAATGTTTTTTTTTATGTTTTTTATGTATGTCAGCTTTGCACATCAAAAAGCTAAAATATTTTACCATTTTATTTTTCAATAATTGATTACAAAAGGATTTATATTTTAGAATTTCAATACAAATGTTTGCTCCAGATTTTGGGATTGTTGACTGGACCATTATAGCTGGTAAATATGCTGGGATCTTTACCATGTAGCTCAGGTTTTACTCTGGATGTCCTAATAAAAGAAGGCCGGTTCTCTTCCAGTATTTAGCTCTTTCCATCTCCTGTATGAACTCTAATGCTACGTTCAGACCACAAGCAGCAGGAGCAGCAAAAACGCATAGCGGCTTCATTTTTGGTGCTAAAGGCAGCCCTATAGGGAACCGTCTCACATTGGCAGCCATAAGAGCGCACCAAAGGCAACGTTCTGCGGCACGCATGGCCTCAGGAAATACAGAAACTGAAATCTGGATTACAATGTAAATTGTAGTTGACGAAACTGATTGATTGTACAGGTGTAGTTCTGTTGCGCAGCTGAAGCATCTTTGCTGCTCCAGCTGCGCGATCGATAAGTGGGGTCTGATGCGCGTTGGGCGGAGCTAACCTGTCCTTTCTCTGCCTGTAACAATGGCAGCTATATTTGCTTATATTTGCTGTGATCAGTGGGTAAAAAGTAGTTTGAATATGTTTTAAAGTAAGAAAGTTTATCTGAAAAATGTTGCTGTCTGAACCGCTCAGACCCCCGTATACCGGCGGTGCGCTGTCACTGGGAATCCCGGTCGCCTCTTTGCGGTTTTCCGCTACTGTTGTAGTGTCTGGAAGGCGTTTTTTACGTATGTAATCTAAACTGCAGCACCAGAATAATCAAATCAGACATATTTTGCCAGCAGATAAAACACATTTAAGTTACATTTGAAGTTAATTTAGGTGTTAATAAACTGTTTCAGAGGAGTGATCATAGCGCTCTGCATCAGCAGTGCTGTGTCTGACTCCCTGCCAGCTCCCAGATCAGCTCTGATTGGTCGCTGTGGCTCGTTGAGAAGCAAAAGTTCAATTTTTTTCCAACTCTAGCAACTGCTGCTTCTGAAGCCCATCAGAAGCTCATGAGGCGCCACTTCGGCTGCTCAGACGCGCCGCAGGACCTTTTGCTGCACCTTGATGCGCGTCAACCCTCGACTTTGCATGTAAGCTAGCTGTTTCCGCTGCCTCTGCTGCTGGCGGTCTGAATGTAGCATCAGCTCCTATCCTGTCCCTGCTGAACTAACATAACCACTAAAATGACTGTTATATTCTGGGTGATGCGCAAGCGTTCATTTTCCTCCAGACATGGTACTTTGCCTCTATGCAAGAAAAAACCCCAAAAACATTCAGGTTAGATAGTTAGCACCTACTCTCATGTAGGTTCTGGATGTTCTGTAACTTCAGTCGGCTTTATTATCTCACCTTATCCCTGACCTTTCTCCTGTCGTCGTGTTTACACTATTGTTCCTTAAATATTTTTTATCAAGAACTTAGCTTCCCAAAACATTTGTTTTATTTTCTTTTCTGTGTGTTTTCACCCAGAGACTTGAAACTTGGATTGTTAATTATTAATCTTTGATTTTATCACAGCAGTTATGGTTTAAAATCCACTGGCAAATATTAGATTTGATTTTTAAATGAACTATTCTGATTAAAACTCGAGGGAAAAAAAGTAGAGCTCAGATGAGGTTAACAATAGTTAATGAAAGTTTGATAAAGGAGAACTTTTGGATTAAAATGCATCTTAATTCAAAGGAAGTATATTCTGTCAGTAATATTTACATAAATGAAATAGTTCAAGCCTGCAAGATATGAAGAGTAAGTGTGGTTGTAGTGGGATGATGTTAGAGAAATGTTGGGACATTTTTAAAGGGCTCTATGTGTGATATTCTGGAGATTTAATCCATAAAGCTGCTCCGCTTGTTAGATGAGCCGTCAAGTTTAAAAATTCTTGTGTGGTTTCAATTTGAGGAAAATCACAAACGTCTTCCAATGTCTTTTCATTTTAGCAAAATAAATGGGATTATGTTTGATATTAGCAGACACTTTGATGAACGGCTTACTTTGGAACATTTAAAACCCGCTGCCACGCTCTTGCAGGTGTTGCTGGTCATGTGCCCATGGACAAAACGGCGTTTGAGGGGTGGCTGGAGTCTGTCTCTGCCACTTTCCTTTCTCTCAATGACCAGCAGCGTAACCAGTGTCTGGATCAGCTCATATCTCTGAGCGGCGCCGCCCAGCTTCGGCATCTATCCAACGGTCTGGAGACGCTCCTGAAGCGGGATTTCCTGCGCCTCCTTCCTCTGGAGCTGGCTTTCTACCTTTTGCGGTGGCTGGATCCTCAGACCCTGCTCACCTGCTGCTTGGTCTGCAAACAATGGAATAAGGTGAGCATCCTGCTCTCTGACCTCATGTTGTTATTTAGCCTATTGAGATATTTTCTGTTTGATATGGAAGCTCTGTTCGCCGCTCGTAATGACAGTCAGCGGCTAGGATGGAGCTGCCACCAGTTCATCTCACTAAATGATGCAAAATATGTTAAACTTGTATGATGGAGTATTAGAGCCATGCTAGAGATTTAGTATTTTAAATATGAGTCATAACTAAAAGTCAGAACATTATTAGAATAATGTTGAAACATTACACAGTTGCAACATGATTTACGAAAATAAAGTGGAAAAATTCTGAGAATTAAGTCATCATACCTGGTGAAGATGACTTCAATTTGGGTTGCTTTGTCAGTCAACTTTTAAGTCTCAACACTTCAGTTAACAATTAATAAAAAAAGTCATGTGACCGATCCAGGAGTTGTTTCTGACTGACTGACTCGCTAAACCGAGTTTAAAAACCTATCTGTCAACATGATGCATCTGCTAAATAAATGTCTCATCTTTTAAGGTTTATTATTAAAATGATCAATAACTTAGTAGCAGCCTAAAAGGAATAGGAATGTTTCAGCCGTTGCCTTCTTATTTTAATTTTCTCATCTAGTCATCACTGGAATTATCTGAATAAAAGTTTATTTCAAATTGACTCTTAGTTTCTTTACTGGTTTATTGTACTTATCGTTTCAAAATTATGATTTAAAATCCACGTCCAGCAGCATCCTCATTCACATTTTCCCCTAAATTATAACGTTATCATATATGTTTAAATTATTTATTGACTGCATCTGAAAATATAAAAGATATTTTTTTTATGATTTAAAAAACAGATATGAAATAAAACCTTTAATAACTTGTTAAGCTGACTGTAATGTTTTAACCCTTTATAGGGCACTCAGTGAAATATGTTATTGGAAATCTGGACAAGACCTTATTAGCTTTGTAACATTCAAAAAATATATTCAAAATATTTTGATGGCAAAAATGAATGTATAAGAAGAAAAGCCCACTTGCCCAAATATATGAAGAAAAATAACTAAATTGCTTCTATAAGAAATCGATGAAACACTGAGTGAATGAAACACATTTTTTTGGTAAAACATAACCTTAAAGATTAATGCTGATACTGGCACTTACATCTTTTTTATAAACCAAAATATAATTGTTACCTAGGCTTATTAACTTTTTACTTTACTTTTTAACTTTTCAATTAGATTTTAACCAATATTTCTTGACTTGTTCACTTTTTTTCCAACTTCATTTACATTAAAGGAATAGTACACCCAAAACATGATTAGCCTTCATTTTCTACTCACCCCCATGCTGAACAACACTCTGGAGTACTTTTTTGATATCTCAAATGCATCTGGAGATCTGGGAGGCTTCTTGCTGTCTGCTGACATTCAAATAATGGAGGTCTATGGCGCCCAAGGCAGAAAGGTCCATAAAAGTCCACAAAAAACGTGTCAATATTCCTCCATACTGCTCGTCCAATGTATTCCAACTGTCCTGAGTGGGTAGCATCCAGAATTTACTCGAAATGAAGTTATTTAGAATGTTTTTAGAGCATAAACAGTAGTGTATAGGATTTCCTAAACGAGTCTACGGAAACCGCGGCAGACCAAACCAGATGAAAGTGCGCATTCAGCGTCTGCTCTGCCGATAATGCAAGCGTAGAAGAAGAAATGTGCTGTTTACCTGTGCAAAGAAAGAAACAACGAAAGAAAAATGTCTGAGGACTTCAGTGTTGAGGAAGAGCATGAGTTCTTTGCCGAGCTGAATGCACACTTTCATCTGGTTTGGTCGTAGCGTCGTGAACTTGCTTTTAGGAAATCCTATACACTACTGTTTATGCTCTAAAAACATTCTAAATGACTTCGTTTCGAGTAAATTCTGGACGCTACCCACTCAGGACACTTGGAATACATTGGACGAGCAGTATGGAGGAATATTGACACGTTTTTTGTGGACTTTTATGGACCTTTCAGCCTCGGGCGCCACAGACCTCCATTATTTGAATGTCAGCAGACAGCAAGAAGCCTCCCAGATCTCCAGATGCATTTGAGATAGCAAAAAAATACTCCAGAGTGTTGTTCAGCATGGGGGTGAGTAGAAAATGAAGGCTAATCATGTTTTGGGTGTACTATTCCTTTAAGTAATATATCATTCAAGGGCTCATCTAATTGGTTAAATGCCAAAATAAGATGTGCAGCCATGTCGCATTATCTTTGCCGAATGGCTGGATATAGATCTTGTGCTTCTAGACCTCAATGAGGGATGGGGGGAGTCCATTTGTAAGGTAGTGATCAGAAACTGTAACTTGCCCTATAAAGGGTTAAAGGTCCAGCAGGTGTCAGTATTCTGTGAGACAGTATCAACGCAGCATCAGTACAGTTTGGTCAAGATGCGTGATCACTAGTAAGAAGTGTTAAAGCTGTTTCTGTGTTTGTCTTCGTAATGAAGGTGATCAGCTCATGCACAGAGGTGTGGCAGAGCGTGTGTCGGGAACTGGGCTGGCGGATCGACGAATCCATTCAGGACGCAGCCCACTGGAAAGGGGTCTATCTAAAGGCTAAACTGCGTATGACGCAGCTGAAGGGACAGGAGGCTTTTGAGACGTCGTCACTGATTGGCCACAGTGCCAGAGTGTACGCCCTGTACTATAAGGATGGCCTGCTCTGCACAGGTAAGCCGTGCCTTTGATTCACCTACTGTATGGTTGCAGCAGCTTGTTTGCATGTGATGAATGTCTTCTTTGTTTCCCAGGGTCTGACGACCTTTCTGCCAAATTATGGGATGTGCGTACTGGACAGTGCATTTATGGAATTCAGACGCACACGTGCGCCACGGTAAAATTTGATGAACAGAAGCTGGTGACGGGTTCTTTTGATAACACTATTGCATGCTGGGAATGGAGCTCAGGCGCTAAAATCCAGCAGTTCCGGGGCCACACTGGAGCAGGTCAGTATGCACACTGAGCTAACGTCTGTTTGAAGTTCCTGTTTTTCTTCTTTTGATCTTATTGATGGCAAAATGATTCCCTTCCAAAAACACTCCCAGTAGAATTAACAATTATTAAGGCTGATTCTTTATATGTTTGATTAATTCAACTCAAGGTTATTTTAACCCTTTATAGGGAACTTAGTGAAAACCAAAATTTCTCTGTTTTCTAAACAGTTTCCTGTCTGTCGATGTGACAATAAGAATAATTGTGTTGATGCCAAAAAAGATCCCAACAGGTTGTGCTTTCACAAGTGAAGCAGTACGGCTATCGCCATAGTGTTCCGCTTGATTTATGCTTATAAATAACTTTATTATAATTCATGCAGGGAGGATTACAGATTTTATGGACACTGTAATGTAAGTAGAACAGGAAAGGAAAAACATGAAAAGGGAGAAAAGATGAAAGAAAGAGAAGATAAAAGGGAGACATTGTTAAAAAAATTAAAATCCAAATGTCCAGCCAATGGTGTTATTGGAATCCAGGACAAGACCTTAAATATTAATGTCAGTTTGATATCAAGAAACTCCAACTTTCTCGAATATATTAAGAAAATAACAAAAGTGTTTCTATAAGAAATTCATGAAAAATACTCTGAGAGTAAAAGAAAAACATTTTTGTCTTTGTAAAACATAAACTTAGAGGCACTAATGCTGATGCTGGCACTTAAATGTTTGAGTTTATAAACCTAAATATAATTGTTAACTACGCTTATTAGATTTTTAACTTTATTTTTTAACTTTTTTACCTTTTTTTTTCTTGACTATTTAACTTTTTTTTTCCAACTTAATTTCCAGTAGGTAATATAGAATGAGGGGCTCATCTAATTGGTCAGATGCAAAAATAAGATGCACAGCCATGTAGCAACATCTTATAACTGAAAAACTGGACATAGGTCTTGTACTGAGGGATGGGGGGATCCAGTTATAAGGGGGATGCAAGTGATTAAAAATGGCAACTTGCCTTATAAAGTGTTTATAGGGCAAGTAATTAGTCAATTTTGTGTCAATTTTGATATAAGTGCTGCTAAATGTGGGTTTCTCTATCAGCTAAAGGCATGTTTTAGAGTCTCTGCACTTAATTGCATCTGGGATATAATCACAATTTATTTTTTCTCCTTTTTTTAAATTTATATATATTTATTTATATAACAAAAATTTAGAAAAAAGGCAAATTTTAAATCATATAGGGAGACAATTTTAATTACAATACACTGAAAGGAAAAGTAGTCAGCAAGGAATAATCAATGGATCATTATCTATAAAACTAAAACTAATACATTTGTGTTAATTTTATAAATTTATCATAAATCATAATCATAATTTCCGTCGCGAATATAGTAACCCCTTCCTCCTGTATCTTCCAGCAGTGACGTCACGGTGCGGTAAGCCTAGCGCCATTCTCCCCGCTTTACAAGCTAAATCAATGGGAACTACTAGACACATCTGCAATCAACAACAATTATTCAATTCAATTCCGTTTATTTATATAGCGCCAAATTCACAACACATGTCATCTCAAGGCACTTTACAGTTCAACCAGATCATACAGTCAAATTGATAAAGTTTTCTATCTAAGGAAAACCAGTTGATTGCATCGACTCATTGACTCAAATACAATCCCCCACGCTAAGCATGCTTGTAGCGACAGTGGAGAGGAAAAACTCCCTTTTAACAGGAAGAAACCTCCAGCAGAACCAGGCTCAGTGTGAGCGGCCATCTGCCGAGGCCGACTGGGGTTCAAGGAGACAGAAGCAGAGATACAAAAAGCAGCTGTAAAAGGCGGCCCCGTTCAGGAAACACACAGCCAGGCAGACAAGCTCCGAGCCAGCTCCCATGCCAGAGGACGAAGAGAGCACATCCACTCAGTCACGGTCAGAGAAACAGGACCACACTGGAAAACAGGCCGATCTCCAACATCTATAAACAAGGGTGTTGATAGAAGCAGCACAGCTGATGTTTCTTTCCAGGATGACGTCACAGCCAAACAGGAACAGACGAGGCAAAGCTACTCTGAGGAAAAGCAGAGAGAGCAGAAGGTTAGAGATTGAACTAACAGATTCTGCAGAATAGGAGAATAGAGAGAGAATGAAGCAGAATGATGAAATGGGGGTCCCTATGTCCTCCAAAAGTCTAAGCCTATAGCAGCATAACTATAGAGATAGCTCAGGATAACCTGAGCCACCCTAACTATAAGCTTTATCAAAAAGGAAAGTTTTAAGCCTAGCCTTAAAAGTAGACAGGGTGTCTGCCTCACGGACTAAAACTGGTAGTTGGTTCCACAGGAGAGGAGCCTGATAACTAAAAGATCTGCCTCCCATTCTACTTTTAGAAATTCTAGGAACCACTAGTAAACCTGCAGATTGAGAGCGAAGTGCTCTGTTAGGAACATAAGGAACAATCAGATCTCTGATATCAGATGGAGCTTGGCCATTTAAGGCTTTATATGTGAGAAGGAGGATTTTAAATTCTATTCTTGATTTAACAGGAAGCCAATGAAGAGAAGCCAGGATAGGCGAGATATGATCTCTCTTTTTAATTTTCATTAGAACTCTGGCTGCAGCATTTTGGATCAGCTGAAGGCTTTTAACTACAGTTTGTGGACTTCCTGATAGTAAAGAATTACAATAGTCCAGCCTTGAAGTAACAAATGCATGGACTAGTTTCTCAGCATCATCCCTGGACAGGAGATTTCTAATTTTTGCAATGTTCCTCAGATGAAAGAAGGAAATTCTAGAAACCTCTTTGATATGGGATTTAAATGACAGGTCCTGATCAAAAATAACACCAAGATTTTTTACTTTATTATCTGAAATCAGTTTAATCCCATCCAAATGAAGTGACTGGCTAATCAGTTTCTTTTTCAGAGACTCTGGTCCAAAGACTATAACTTCTGTTTTGTCTGCATTCAGAAGCAGAAAGTTAAGAGTCATCCAGGTTTTTATGTCTTCAAGACATGCCTGTAATCTATGTAATGGGTTAGCTTCATCTGGATTTATAGACAGATAAAGCTGGGTATCATCAGCATATAAAAAACATCAAAAAGTAATTAGTTTAATCCAGACAATTGATTTCATTGTGGTTGGACTCTTATTGAAGATTTAAGTACAATAGAGCAAAATAAAATAGAATAAGACAGAATAAAATAAGTAAAATTGCACCCTCCACATATAAACAGTGGGAAAATAAGAATAAAACAATAATATAAGGTTTCAGTATATCCAATCAACAGTATTTACAATGCTGCTCAGCACCTAAATTACTATTAATACAGTTGACCGGGTTATGGCGCAGAGTGAAGTAATGAAAGAAATGAATTATATGCAGAGGCGTCAAAAGTATTAATGTTTGTTAATCAAGTACAAGTATAAATCCTACTGTTTACCTTTAAAGAAGTTAGAGGATCGGCTAAGGATTTTTACTCTAGTAAAAGTGTAAAAGTTTTTAAAACTACTTAAATTATAAAAGTTAAAGTTATGCAGAAAAAATTGAAGGAAGCTTTAAACTTTATACTGGTTACTGCACCATGCTATTAAAGTAGAAAAGAAATGTTTTTACAATTCTGAATGATAATTTCCTTATACTTCATTTACTTAGTTTTATAACAGATGGTATCAGTGTCAGATTTTCTTGGTTTGTGGTGAAAAACAGGTTGGGGCAGCACCGAGTCCAACCACAATGAAATCAATTGTCTGGATTAAACTAATTATTTTTGATGTTTTTTATTTTTTTTAAATACCAACAGGTATTGATTTTTTTTTTTTTTCTTTTCAATAAACTTTATTATTTACAATACACAACAATACAAAACTGCATTGTGTACATATCACAAAACAACAAAAACATTTGCCAGGGGGAGCATTAACAGAAAACAATAAAAGTTTAAGAAGAAATGACAAAATAATCTTGTTTAAAGACAAACAGTACCAAAGGTGACAAAAATACCAGACGCCACAGTGAATCAACACAATAAATGAAGGTCAAATTGTAAATATATAATGTTTAAATTCAATCAAAAATACTGAAATGTCAGTTTTTTTTTTCTCAAAAATTAGCATTTATCAAGATGAAATTTAGCCTTAATAATGAATAAGTTGATAAGAAAACTCTTCGCATTCATTCTTTCATTTTGTTGAAAACCAAACAGGAAATTTACCCAATATAACTGAAATCCTATTGATATTTTTGACACATTAATGAGGCATCTTTAAGCCAGACTGTATTCATGCTGCCTTGATATACTGACACCTGCTGGACCTTTAAAGACACTACAGGCAGCTCATTTGACAGACTGAACTGAATTTATTTGATGACCCAGCAAATATAGTTTATGTTATAGTAAGTTATATTATTTCATATCTATGTTTAAATTGAAAATATCTTTGATCATTTTAGATGCAGCCAATAAATAATTTAAACATATAACGTTATAATTTAGGTTCACATGTGAATGAGGATGCTTGTAGACTAGGATTTAATTTGAAATTAACTTTAATTCAGATAGTTGAGTGATAACTGAGAGGAACAGGATGACACAATGACAAAATTAAAATAAAAACGCAACAAAGATTCCTATTCCTTTTAGGCTGCTCCAAAATTTTTGATAATTTTAATGATAAACCGCAAAAGATGAGAGTTTTTATTTTATTTTAGCAGATGCATCATGTTGACAGATACGTTTTTAAACACAGTTAAGTTTGTCAATCATTTAGAAACAACGCCTGTATCGGTCACATGACTTTCTTGAAACGACACATGCGCCGATACAGTGTTTTGCCACAATAAAAATCAGCTTAAATATTTATTTATAAAATGTAAGGAGTAGAAAGTAGAGATGATTGCAAAAAAATGTAAGGAGTAGAAAGTAGAGATGATTGCAAAAAAATGTAAGGAGTAGAAGTAAAAAGTCTAAAAAATAATTACACTAGTAAAGTATAGATAGCCAAGATTTCTACTTAAGTAAAGTATTTCTGCTTTATTTGAGATTGAAAAGCATCCAACGCATCCTTTCCTAGTGATGTACCACGGTCAGTGGTTCTGTAGCGTTTAACATTCGCTGTCATTTTATAGCAGGATTTTTTTGTTTTTCTTTTTGCATCCAGTGTTGCTAAATATTTTCAGTTCAGTTCTATTTATTCATAGTGCCATATCCCAAAATAATCTTCTCTAGGCAGAATACTTTTATATTTCCAGAGTTCATCTGTACATGTATATCTGAATTGTCATGAGTTTTCATCTATTCAATTTCAATTCAGTTTATTTTTATGTCGCCAATTCACAAAGATCATACAGTTAAATTGATTCAAAAGTTTTCTATCTAAGGAAAACCAGTTGGTTTTGACTCAAAGTCAAACCCTCACACTAAGCATGCTTGTAGCGACAGTGGAGAGGAAAAACTCCCATTTAACAAGAAGTGTGAGCGGCCATCTGCTGAGGCCGACTGGGAGACAGAAGCAGACAGAAAAAAGAAGCAGAGATGCAACTCCATGCTAATAAAATGTTTATAAAAATGCATTAAAAAGCATTGTAATTTCTGCAGAAACCCTGTTGCACTCGGAGCCCCATGCCTTGATACCCCTAAATATAATTAATTTCCTCAGAAGGTCAAGTGAAGAGTGACTAGTCTATATGTACTAGTCTCTATGACTAAATATGATCTGTGTGTGTGTGTGTGTGGTGCAGTCTTCAGCGTGGACTACAATGACGAACTGGATGTCCTGGTCAGCGGTTCTGCAGATTTCTCCGTAAAGATCTGGTCGCTGTCTGCTGGCGGCTGTCTCAACACTCTCACTGGACACACTGAATGGGTCACTAAGGTGAGCTCAGCGTGCCGAGGCATCATTGAATGATGTTGGTAACTTTACCCTTTACCGTTTGTTCTTCTTCTGCTGTTTTCTCCCTACAGGTGATATTGCAGAGGAGTGAGGTAGAATCGATGGTGCACAGTCCCGGGGATTATATCCTGTTAAGTGCTGATAAGTATGAAATCAAGGTAAAATGTGCTTCATATGTTTGTTTAAAAAAAGGCAGAAAGAGTCCCTCTGATCTGCTCCACAGAATGAGACCAAGCTCTGCTTTCATCCTGCAGGTTTGGCCTTTAGGCAGAGAAATCAACTGTAAGTGTTTGAAAACGCTGTCAGTATCAGAAGACCGCAGCATCAGCCTTCAGCCTCGCCTGCAGTTTGATGGACGCTACATCGTCTGCAGCTCTGACCTTGGCGTTTATCAGTGGGACTTTGCCAGTTTTGAAATTATTAGGTAAAGTGGTCATAAAAACACATTCAGTTTACAGAACGGAACAAATACTCTAAACCATCGATACATGTTGCAGAGTCATGGTGTGACACAGCAGCCATTGCTTTGCGTCAAATGAGGACTGCTTTAGTAGCAGCAGCTTCAGAACTAGAGCTGGGCAATTACTTACATTTACAACATAATCGCAGTTTAGAAAGATGCTATTTTCAAATCAGAGGCACTTTATTTTTAATCACTTTAATCATGACAATTTGATAAGAGTAAAACACTAAATTTCTCCTTCCAGCCCTTTGGGTGGCAGTGATATGGTTAAATGCCGTCTCTGACTCCAGGAAACGGTGTCATGATTGATGACCAGCTGACCTTTAAACATCATGTTACCTCCGTTTATCGATCTTCTTGCTTCACACTTCTAAACATCACAGCATCCGATGTTCTGTCAGATGAGCATACCCGGTCAGACCAGCATAGGCAGAGTCAATACCCTTTAATCACTTTAGTTTTGTATGAAAAATAAACTTAAAGCTGCCTCAACAAGCGTGTATCCCTTTAGTCATGTAAAAAAAACTATTTAATTACTTTTTAGGTGTTTTTTGAAGCGTATGGCGATCTGACCTTAAATTGTTTGTTTATTTTGTACATGACCAAAAGGATACATGTTGGGCACGTTACTTTGAAAAAGAAATTAGTTATATTTACTACTTACTTCTCCTAAAAAGTAACTGAGTTACTCCACAATAAAAGTAACTAGTTACTAGTAAAAGTAACTATTGCGTTACTTTTGCGTTTCTCGCCCCGTAACCCTCACCACCCAGCCCCCACCTTCTCGCCGTGTGTTTCCAAAGCCAGCTGAATAGAGCGGACGACAAAGACAAGAACCTGCAGAGTTTAGCATTTTTTGCGACTCAACGTAAATGACATCAGGGGGGAACGCTATCTGACGGGGTTTCTAGGCCCTTAACATGGGGGATACACTATCCGATGCGGTGTAAATATCATCAGGCTGCATTACCTCTACTCATGGGTGTAAAGTTTTTTAACATGGCGTTCAGATCTGGTGAGTGTATGAGATTAATAACTGGGGATGTCTAATTCTGAAATCCTGTGTGTTTGGGTTGTTATAGATAAAAGGCAGAAAGGCGCGCACGAGTCCTACCATGAAAAAATGGTTAATTGTGCGACCTGAGTAACGTCCAATAACGGGGTGTCGGCAATGGTAACTGCGTTATAGTTACAGTCAAAGTAATTAGTTAGATTACTCGTTACTAAAAAAAGGTAACAGCGTTGAAGGTAACGCCGTTACTTTCAACGCTGTTACTCCCATCACTGCACACAAGGTAGTTTAAAGTCTATTTTTTGTACAAAACTAAATTAAACGCAAATCTGACGTCTTAGTCATGCATATTCACTAAGTGTATGCTGGTCTGACAGAACACCGCCGCAATAAGGGAAGACGGTTGCAGCTGGTGCCTTGATTGATGCATTATAGTAGAGATGGTAAATGGAAGTAAGAAGTTTTACAGTGAAGTCCTGCAATACTGAACTCTGGACAAGAAGGCTTTCAGGTCATGAAAAAACTGAAACCTTGGAGTAAAAGATCAACAAGGTTGATCTTAGTGCAAAGGACTATCGCAAAGAAATCACAACATTGGTTGAAAATAATCGCAATTTAGATTTTTGGCAAAATCGTTCAGCCTTAGTCAAAATTAAACAAAATGAGCTCTTTTTAAAGGTCAATAAGCTCTTATTACTAGAATGATGCGGTGGTTCTCAGTCCTCCAGGTACTGCTGCCCTGCAGGTTTCAGATTTCTCCTCACTGCCACAAACCTGACTTATATGAGATAATGAGAAAGGGGCTTCTGCAGCACGTGATGTGCAAAATGTTGTTTTTTTTTGTTTTGTTTTTTCTACATAATTACTGCTGTAAGTGGGTGGTTCTGTCAGCTAAAGGAATGTTTTATAATCTCTTTTATTAGCGATTAAGCGATTATTGATTTAGTTGACAGTTAATTCAATAACTGATTAATCTAGGGCTAAATAGGGATAATATTAGGTCTAAAACAATCAGATTAATTGCGATTAATTAATTACTTTTCGCAATTGATTAATCGCTAACTGGAGTTTAGAGACTCTAAACTATGCTTTTAGCTGACAAAGCGACCCACTTAGAGCAGTACATATATCAAAATAAAAAAAAAAATAAAAAAAAAAAATATATATATATATATATATATATATATATATATATATATATATATATATATATATATATATATATATATATATATATATATATATATAAATATATTGCATTTTAAATAAAAAGAAAATGTTTTATTCTGTCAATATGCTCTATCCAGAACTCCTCAGAGGAAAAGTTTGAGTTTGATTTAGTAAGAAATCTTCTTTGAGGAACCTTTTACTAGCCAATTATAATCGAAAAAATAATCGACATATTAATAATCGTTCTCTCTGGCCCTAGATTAGTCCCAATTAATCTGATTCATTGTTTCAGCTCTAGTTCAGAGAGAGAGTTGATTTTTTTCCATATATCTTGACATCAGCAATCTTCTTAGTTTTGATTTGAACCTTTTTTTTAACAGAATCAAAGAAAGAAATAAGGTAGCAACCTTTTTGTAACATACATGCTTATCCTGCATCATCAGTCTAGTGCCGCTAATGTCTAATCTAGTCAAATATATCAACAATATCTCCATGTTTCCAACAGATCTGTTTTTTGTGTTAATGGGAAAGATTAGGAAGAACATGTAGTGATGCTCTGAACCTAAAGCATTCTGTTTTCCTTTTCTCAGAGTAATAAAAATGGAGGACCCAGCCAACCTGTCCCTGCTAAGCTTTGGTGAGGTGTTTGCGCTTCTTTTCGATAACCACTTCCTGTATGTCATGGACCTGAGGACAGAGTCGATCTCGGGCCGCTGGCCTCTACCGGCTTACAGGAAATCAAAGCGAGGATCCAGCTTCCTGGCAGGCGTGACCTCCTGGTTGAACGGCCTGGATGGGGGCAATGACTCTGGACTGGTGTTTGCCACCAGCATGCCTGATCATAGCATTCACTTAGTTCTATGGAAGGAGAACGGCTAGTCAACCAGTGATGTCACACGTTGGACTGTTGGCCTGTGAGCCTCTTTAATAATCATAACTGCCAAAAACCTCCTTCATGGAACAAAGCATGTTGTCTTCTCCCCGTTTCGTCCTCATGATTCAAGTCCTCCTCTAGATCCTTACATGAACATTAACCCATGGATCCTTCATACAAGCTAAGAACTGAAAGGAGTTTGTCACTTTTGTGCTAAAAATGGATCAGCGCCTCCTTAGAAGAACTTCCATGAAGCCAAAATGACAAAGATAAAAGAAACAGTAGTAACCAAAATAACATCACTATCTTTTGATATATATATAAATGTTTAAAAGTACATGGTTATTGCATTTTGCTCTTTAAATAGTCGGCATTATGCCAGCGAGGAAGATCTGTAGCTGACTTTGGATGTCAGTCGCTTGTGTTCTGTCAGATGAGCATACCTTTAGTTTATCCCTTTAGTTTTGTACGAAAAATACACTTTAAACTGCCTCAACGGTTGTCTTTCCATTTAGTCATGAACAAAAAATATATATAATTACTTCTTTTTTGGTGTTTTTTGAAGCGTATGGCGATCTCAAAGGCCGTCGAGGTAGTTTAAAGTACATTTTTCGTACAAAACTACAGGAAAAAATGCAAATGTGACGTCTTGCGCATGTGTATTTACTGGTCTGAAGGGTATGCTAATCTGACACACCGGGCTGACGCCATCATGATATCTTTGAACACGAGCAGGGGTGCCTTAAACTCACTTGCATCAAAGGGGAAATGATTTGCTTCCAGACGGCGTTGCGTGATGACAGGAGAGGAGTGGTTCGGTGTTGCGTTTCTAAACACCGTTTATCGTTAAGGATATCCAGTTTAAATGTCAGCTTTGATAAATGTGATGTGCCTTTTGGTTCTTTCCAGTTAGCTCCAGCAGACTGCAGTTAGGCAACGACTTTTTGTTTCTTTTCACATATTCAGACAGACTTAGATGCCTGTTCATTTAAAGCTATATTCTGGATATTTGTTCAATCAAAAACTGTTTTTCTGAACCATAATGTTGAACTTCCTTCTAATGAAAAGCCACAGAAAAATAAGACGGCGATGAAAGAATTCGGTGAGGTCAAACTTTTTTTATTTTTTTATATTTTTATGAATCTAAAACACCAGAGTTCGTTTACGGTAATCTGACTTTATATTTACCTTGTCCTCCTCAGCGGAGAAGTTAAATCAGGTTTATTAAAACATCAATGTGACCTGTATGTATGATAAGACTAAAGGAAAAAAAAGAAAAGCCAGAACAGCTCTAGGTTTCTAAGTTTACATCTGAGTACATAGTGTTTATCATCACAAAGGTTTCTGCCACACAATGACAGCTTGAGTCACCTTAATCTACTTCATTCTTCTTAATAAAAAACAAAAATGGTTATAAATGTGTCGTACGTTGTCTCTTTGTTTTTTCTGTGCCCACCATCACATTATCAGCATTACCATTAGGCAATACTAGGCAGATCCATAAAACTCTGTTTACATGTATGGTTAATACAATTATTCCTTTTTTTTGCAGCCATCTGTGTATAAAAATCCTTTCACTAAAAATGCCCCCCCCCCCCCCCCCCTTCAGTGTCCACCATATTGGATCAGTCCATTTGCTGCACATGTTCAGAAAGGTCCAACCAGACAGCAGCAAACCATTTGAAAACAAACCATGAAAAGAGCAGTTGAGTGAAATTATAGCTTTTGTCGCTATATTTAGCGACTTATAAGACCACTCTGGTACTTTTATCTCAAAAAAGCACCTAGCGTCAAATCTAGAGACTTTTTTCTGCTACTGGAGACTTTGGAGACAACATCTAAAAGCAGCGAACTCTGTTCTCCAGAGCGAGTACATTGGTAACCCCGCCTCCTGCTTTCCTCTATCTTGTCTGCTGTCATGATTCATGCAGCGATTATTTCATCCAAATGAAAAATGGAGAACAGATAAGCAGATCATGGCTTGTCTACAGTGAAAAGAAGGACTGGGTTATTTACTTTGGCCTTTTTGGAAACACAGGAAGGAGCAATCAGCTAAGTGAGCTTAGTGCTTGGAAAAAATCTTTCATTCCTTTAGAGACAGCATGAAAAGTCAGAGTACAAAACATAGAGAGGAAAACAAGAAGAAGAGAGGGACCAAACCTAGAACAAATAATGTTTATTCTATTAAAATTTCTGTATCTGTAAAATGTGTTGTCTTCTTAATTCAGAGGGCCGTCTGACTGTTTTTGCCTAGGGCCCTAAATGTCCTAAATCCGCAGCTGGGAAGAGGCTGAGGACTATACTCCATCATAAACACCATCCACCCTGACTTTCTGAGAAACTTCATAAAACTCAGATGGAGGCAGCAACAATCACCTGGATCAAAGACTACCTTACAAACAGACCAGTTTGTGAGACCGAAGGGTCAGTTGTGTAAGTAGGTAGTCAGCAGCACAGGGAACGGTACTATCACCATTTTTTTTTTTACTTTTTACGCCTCCATCTTCCTATACAACACAGATTCCTGTCTCTTGCAGGAATACTTCGATGACTCTGCAGTTGCTGGGTGCATCAGAGACTCCTTTGGGAAATGGTGTGGAAATAATTATCTAACCTTGAATGTGAACAACATAAGGGAGATTATTTTATATTTCAGATTAAAGAGGACACTGTTACCATCATGGAATAAAAAGTGGAAGTGGTGGAAGAGTCTAAATATCTCTGTTCATCTGGACATCAGACTAGACTGGAGATGCAACTGTGAAGGCGTCTGCAATAAGGGGACAGAGCAGACTACATGTAGAGAAAGCTTCCTATTATGAGGGCTGTTGAACACCAACCGTCTTCAGTAAAAAGCCTTTGACCCATCACTAAAGGAGCTCATTCACAGGAAGAGGGGGGCTGCAGCACCCCCTAGTGGCGCGAGGGAGATTTTGGAAAAAAAAAAAAGAAAGTATTAGAAATACTTTTGCACAATTTATAAATTTCATAAGAATTCTTGGTAAATGTTTTTGACTCTTTTATTTTACTATTAAGCGCATTATGATTTTAATTGAATTATTTTCAGGCCTAATCAATACAGGTTCATGGAAGTTGTGTTGTCATGGCAACGTCAAGCAAGCTGGGGCGTGGTAACCTGCTTGCAGCAGCAGACTAGTAAATGTACATGGCCTAATTACAGAAACCAGAGGTAGAAATATGGCACAGAAATGCATTTCTGATTCGTCTGCTGATGAGAGACTTTATCTCCACAACCCCAGAGCGCACCTGAACATTTGGACACCTGTAGCGAGGCAGAGCACCCTGCCTGTAGGTCAAAGTAAGACCATGATGCTGCCATGCACTTTCATTTCTATTCATGCAGTTTAATGTAACCATAGTGATATTTTTATCCTGGATTCTTTGTGTAATGGATGTGGAGAACTGTCCATCCATCCATCCATTTCATCCCAAGCAGGGACGGGAGGGGTGCTGGTGCCAATCTCCAGCCGTCTACGGGTGAGAGGCAAGGTCCACCCTGGACAGGTCGCCAGAGCAACAGAGAGGACAAACAACCAACCTAAGGAGGATTTAGAGAAGCCAATTAACCTAACAGTCATGTTTTTGGACTGTGGGAGGAAGCAAATTCCATGCAGAAGGACCCTGGGCCGAGAATTGAACCCGAAACCTTCTTGCTGCAAAGCAGCAGAACAACCCACTGTGCCAGTGAGCAGCCTGAGTACCGTTTTATGTTTAAATAAGACACATACATGCATAAAAAGATTTTGGAGCTAATAGTCACGTGTGACATAAACACAGTGACTCAGTTTCCTGCCAGATGACCAAATGTACATTGTTATATGACAATAAAGTAGTGAATCTCAATTTATTTACTTATTTTTATCGTATTTTTAATAGGCTCATAGATCTTTTTTCCCCCCAAACAAACACAAAAACATTTTCACAGCACACCCTGTTCTAAAGTACTTCCAGTAGCCCTGCCTACAGCTGTTAACATCTACAACAGCTTGCTAAAAAAAAAAAAAACTCCCTTGAGTTTAATTGAAATTCCCTTTGGGATCAATAAACTATTTTTGAATAGAAATTATTATAGGCTGGACATGATCATTTAAATATATAAATACGAATCCAGAGGTCAGAATATTTAGGACAATATATCTCTTTACATGGAGGAATATGAAAGCATTTGAATGGAGGTAAGAATTGGCAAATAAATGAGCTGACCTGGAGTTACTGCAAAGTCAAGGATTTGATGCAAAGACTGGGCTTCTTTATACAATAACCTTTAACCAGTTGGTTACATAAATCAACCAACTTTTACTGTTATACATTAATATTTAGGACTGAATAACAGATTATGTTACTGAATCAAATCAAAATGATTCCCCTTATACCCTATTTTAGTGATGCCTTATAAACCTGCAAAAACTACAATCAGATCTTATAATGAATGAAAAAGGATAGAGTGATATATTCATCAACATCAATAAAATATCAATTTATTACTTAGAATTAAGGAAAAATGGGTTTATATAAAACATTTTTCATTTTAGTTTGTCTCCTTTCAGTTTTTATACATACACTAAATTACTCATGTGATGTTCATCATCCAGAGAACGCGCATATTGGACTGTTACAAACAGAGCATACAGCTGTTTTAAACTGAGTTTGTGGGGCTGCATCGTTTGTTTTTCTTTCCACCATCTCCAAGTCACAGTCTCTTCAGGGCAGTGGCCTTTCTTAGGCTCCGCCCATTTTGATGACTTTTACTCTCAGAAGTCGTCATCATCACAGATGTCCAGATAAACGTCGAAGGCCTCTCGGTTGCAGTTTCCATCAGGTGTGAACACATACTTGTGGAAGGTCCCGTCTACACAGATGGCTGCAAAAAATGTTCAGAGATTTCCGATTAAAGGCAACATGATACAGCAGCAGCCATTTAAAAGTTCCCCACTTTCCATCATGGGTCCTTGGCTGCTCCCCTAAGATTCCTTCATAAAAAACAATCTTTGTACTAAAATATTCTTTCTGTCATGATTTGCGGACATTAAGTAAAAAAATATGCACGCCCATGCAGGGGTGGAGCTAGATGGGGGGCTAGGGGTTGCCATGGCCACCCTTAGCCAATTATTGGTCACCTTTATGGCCACCCTTAGCCAATTATTGGTCACTTTTATGGCCACCCTTAGCCAATTATTGGTCACCTTTGTGGCCACCCTTAGCCAACTATTGGTCACCTTTGTGGCCACCCTTAGCCAATTATTGGTCACCTTTGTGGCCACCCTTAGCCAATTATTGGCCACCTTTGTGGCCACCCTTAGCCAATTATTGGCCACCTTTGTGGCCACCCTTAGCCAATTATTGGTCACCTTTGTGGCCACCCTTAGCCAACTATTGGTCACCTTTGTGGCCACCCTTAGCCAATTATTGGTCACCTTTGTGGCCACCCTTAGCCAACTATTGGTCACCTTTGTGGCCACCCTTAGCCAACTATTGGTCACCTTTGTGGCCACCCTTAGCCAATTATTGGTCACCTTTGTGGCCACCCTTAGCCAATTATTGGCCACCTTTGTGGCCACCCTTAGCCAATTATTGGCCACCTTTGTGGCCACCCTTAGCCAACTATTGGTCACCTTTGTGGCCACCCTTAGCCAACTATTGGTCACCTTTGTGGCCACCCTTAGCCAACTATTGGTCACCTTTGTGGCCACCCTTAGCCAATTATTGGTCACCTTTGTGGCCACCCTTAGCCAATTATTGGCCACCTTTGTGGCCACCCTTAGCCAATTATTGGTCACCTTTGTGGCCACCCTTAGCCAATTATTGGCCACCTTTGTGGCCACCCTTAGCCAATTATTGGTCACCTTTGTGGCCACCCTTAGCCAATTATTGGCCACCTTTGTGGCCACCCTTAGCCAACTATTGGTCACCTTTGTGGCCACCCTTAGCCAATTATTGGTCACCTTTGTGGCCACCCTTAGCCAACTATTGGTCACCTTTGTGGCCACCCTTAGCCAACTATTGGTCACCTTTGTGGCCACCCTTAGCCAATTATTGGCCACCTTTGTGGCCACCCTTAGCCAACTATTGGTCACCTTTATGGCCACCCTTAGCCAATTATTGGTCACTTTTATGGCCACCCTTAGCCAATTATTGGTCACCTTTGTGGCCACCCTTAGCCAATTATTGGTCACCTTTGTGGCCACCCTTAGCCAATTATTGGCCACCTTTGAGGCCACCCTTAGCCAACTATTGGTCACCTTTGTGGCCACCCTTAGCCAATTATTGGTCACCTTTGTGGCCACCCTTAGCCAATTATTGGTCACCTTTGTGGCCACCCTTAGCCAACTATTGGTCACCTTTGTGGCCACCCTTAGCCAATTATTGGTCACCTTTGTGGCCACCCTTAGCCAATTATTGGTCACCTTTGTGGCCACCCTTAGCCAATTATTGGCCACCTTTGAGGCCACCCTTAGCCAACTATTGGTCACCTTTGTGGCCACCCTTAGCCAATTATTGGCCACCTTTTTGGCCACCCCTAGCCAATTATTGGCCACCTTTGTGGCCACCCTTAGCCAACTATTGGTCACCTTTGTGGCCACCCTTAGCCAATTATTGGCCACCTTTTTGGCCACCCCTAGCCAATTATTGGTCACCTTTGTGGCCACCCTTAGCCAATTATTGGTCACCTTTGTGGCCACCCTTAGCCAACTATTGGTCACCTTTGTGGCCACCCTTAGCCAATTATTGGCCACCTTTTTGGCCACCCCTAGCCAATTATTGGCCACCTTTGTGGCCACCCGTAGCCAATTATTGGCCACTTTTGTGGCCACCCTGAGCCAATTATTGGCCACCTTTGTGGCCACCCTTAGCCAACTATTGGCCACTTTTGTGGCCACCCTGAGCCAATTATTGGCCACCTTTGTGGCCACCCTTAGCCAACTATTGGCCACCTTTGTGGCCACCCGTAGCCAATTATTGGCCACCTTTGTGGCCACCCTTAGCCAACTATTGGCCACCTTTGTGGCCACCCTTAGCCAACTATTGGCCACCTTTGTGGCCACCCATAGCCAATTATTGGCCACTTTTGTGGCCACCCTGAGCCAATTATTGGCCACCTTTGTGGCCACCCGTAGCCAATTATTGGCCACTTTTGTGGCCACCCTTAGCCAATTATTGGCCACCTTTGTGGCCACCCGTAGCCAATTATTGGCCACCTTTGTGGCCACCCATAGCCAACTATTGGCCACCTTTGTGGCCACCCATAGCCAATTATTGGCCACCTTTGTGGCCACCCGTAGCCAATTATTGGCCACTTTTGTGGCCACCCTTAGCCAATTATTGGCCACCTTTGTGGCCACCCGTAGCCAATTATTGGCCACCTTTGTGGCCACCCTTAGCCAATTATTGGCCACCTTTGTGGCCACCCTTAGCCAACTATTGGCCACCTTTGTGGCCACCCATAGCCAACTATTGGCCACCTTTGTGGCCACCCATAGCCAATTATTGGCCACCTTTGTGGCCACCCTTAGCCAACTATTGGCCACCTTTGTGGCCACCCATAGCCAATTATTGGCCACTTTTGTGGCCACCCTTAAATTTTTTTGTGAAGGGTGGCAGCAATAATACTCCAAAGTGAATCGTTCTAACTTATTTAACATTTTAAGTTTTCATATATTAAGTTACTTGACAACAAAAACACTGTGGTTAATTATGCACATCAATATACTGACATAAAAAGATGCAGAATTGATGCTCTTTCCAGAACTAGATTATGTGTTATGGGGTGAAGAGAAAATGATGTCTTTGCAAGTCATCTAGGAGTCTTCAGTCAAATCAGAGATAAATAACTACTTTAATAATAAGTAATCAGTTTAATCTAGATATTAGTGGATTTAAATATTAATTTTAGGCAGAACGATTACTGATAAAAGTATGTAAGTAGTGACAATGATTAATATATTCTCCATACATCTCAAACTAAAAAGAATTTTGTCCACTACACGTTTAATTTATACAGCATGGATGTTTAAATATATGCGTCTATTTGTACAAAGGCTGCAGGAAAGTATAGTTTGTCTTTATTTAGAAAATATGGATGTTGTGGTTGTTTATTTTCCTGTTGGAACAGTGTAGATTGATTCTATCCACTTTTGGCCCCCCCTTCAGTGTACATTGGTTATTGCCTGGCCCCCTTTATTAACATTTTCTGGCTACGCCTCTGCACCCAGGAGAAGGAGGGAGTCACTCCAATGGCTGGAAGGGCCACTTTGAAGGGCTGCTACTGTAAAATGAGGATAAGCAACACAGTGACTTTCAAAGCTGTGTTTTAATTGGAGAAATGTATCTTCTAACAGAGGGAGATCGGTGGCTAATATTAGAAAAAAAAAAACATGTTTTTCTTATTGATCTCAGTGGCTTCAAAGACTAACAGATTATCATTGTAAAAAATGTTTTGCTGCCAGGCTGCTGAGCTGAGCCTGGAGTTCGATCCTTCTGTGATTGATGGACGGACGGACAGTGGTAATGGGGATGATGCTAAGAGGACTAGCTAAACTCTTTGTATCTAAAAGTGATCGAACTTCCTCTGGAAGTATAGAAAAACCTGACAGCAGCATCATGAAGCGTTTGAACACATTGAAGCCAACCTGTATTGATGCTGCATTGATACTGTCTCGCAGAATACTGACACCTGCTGGACCTTTAAAGACACTACAGGCAGCTTATTGGACAGACTGAACTGAACTGATTTCATGACCTAGCACTATAATATCATTGAAGTTATTGTAGGTTATATTGTACTGTGTCATATCTGTTTTTAAACTGGAAACATCTTTGATATTTTTAGATGCCATAAATAATGTAAACATATATCATGACATGAACATTTAGGGGAAAATGTGAATGAGGATGCTTGGGGACTAAGATTTTAAATCATATTTTTAAAACAATAAGTACAGTAAAAACATTAAATAAACTAAAAGTCAATTTGAAATGAACTTTGATTCAGATAATCTGAGTGATAACAGAGAGGAACAGGATGACACGACGAGAAAATGAACGGCTAAAACATTCCTATTCCTTTTAGGCTGCTCCAAAATTCTTGATAATTTTAATGATAAACCGCAAAAGATGAGACTTTTGTTTTTTTAGCAGATGTGTTGACCGGTGTTGTTAGACCTGTCACTACAGTTACCATAGAGGAGCTCCGCCCCTTTATAGGTCACCTGTATTTCCTTTAAATTAGCCTCCGGCACTATTTGTTATTTTACTAACTTGATATTTATACATAAAATATCCTGACGTTCACACCTTAGACATTAAAATAGGAAATCCAAAGCAAATGCATAAAAGGTTTAACATTAAAAAGTTTAAAGGAGCAGTATTGAAAGTTTCTGCAGACCAGCATCAAGTTAAAGATTTTCATTAATCCCATTCTAGCTTCTCTAGATCTCGATGTAGAGAAAAGATGCAGGCGGGGTTTACTTATTTGCCATACTGTCAAAAAAAAGTGAAATAAAAGGAATTTAGCAAAAATAACTGACTTTTTTACATCCAATAAAATGATTTGAGGACCAGAATGTTCACATTTTGGACAAGGAAAACAGGTGGTGGGAGGGGCTTGAAGGAAACCATCTATGTCACGAAAGGAAACTAACCTTAAACAGGGGGGGGGTGGGGGTGGACTCAGATTTCAGCTTTCAAAAACCTGCAATGCTGAGATAGAGTTGATTCCTTCCCGCTATCATCTCAACCTCAACCCCTTTACAGTGGAGCAGAAGACCCCGCCTATTCATCCAGGCCAGCAATTCCCTTTAACGACCCCCTTTCAGAGACATAGACAGGTATGGGGCATTGCAGGCTAACAAAGAAGCCAAACGACCCCCAATCCAAAGGGGTGGACACGTTCGTCCGTTTCAATTTGCATGTTTTCTAAACAAAAACAAGGCTTTGTGGGGCTACTGTATAAAGTCTGGAGCTCAAAGCTATTTCCGACATTTGGAATTGAAAAAGCTTCCTGGGTGGAAGAGAAACATCTTAAAACTTGGGGGAAAAAAGTCCAGTGGATTGTTTTTAACTTTTTTGGAATGGAGTTAGGAAAGTTTCCTCACCAATGACTGAGTTCACATTCTTGGATGTGTTTTTCCCAAAAGCACAGATGCAGGCACACTCAGCAGGCACTGTGAAGCTGGCCAGGGACCACTGGCTATCCACATACTGACCAATAACAGGGCCCACCTTCCCGACACGAGCCAGACTGCAGGAAGAAAAATGGTTACTGTGACGGCAAGTGGGTGCAGAAGAACGACGCGAGCAAGAGGCGGCCTTACGCTGAGCGCCTGTTGAGTTTGGTGTCCTTCAGAGCGAAGATGTGGACGGTGCCTTTATCGCTGGACGCACACAGGAAGGACGAGTCGTGGCTGAAGTTGATGCTGGAAGAAAGAAACAACATAAGGGCCAGTTTGGCACAAGCAGCTCCTTTAAAATCGTTTTAGTATTGATCAAATATTTCACATGTTGGATAATCAATCAATTATAAATATGAACTTTTTCACTAATTGCTACAAAAGCTAAACAACTTTTTTCAATTCCTAAAATGCATTATCAGAGGTGTCAAGTAAAAAAGTACAATTACTTTGTTAGCTTAGTTAATTAGAAATTTGGGCTGTCTATACTTTCCTGGACTTATTATTTATTTTTTTGCAACTTTTTACTTCTACTCCTTACATTATTTTGGAATTATCTCTACTTTTTCCTCCTTAAATTTTAAGGCGGCTCCTGCGGGGAGCAGCGATGCGTCCGGAAGCACCTGGGCTATAATAAAAGATGTCCTGATTCACCGCCCGCCCCCCAAAAAAACGAATAAATAAAAAGAAAACGAAAGAAAGAAGGTTTGCAGTCGCAGCAGATTCAGCGTCATGTCTGCTAGGAAGTTTGTTGGTGGTGGGCGTCAACGCAGGGAGGATCCATCACTCACCTTCTGGCTCAACCAATGATGGGGATGAAGTCTGGAGGAGAACTGAGGGTTTCCCCCCTTTATACCAAAACGCTGCCAATAGGACGTTATACAGTAGCTGGAAGTTAGAAACACCTTCAGCGCTCGTCTGGAACACGTCAGATACGTTGATATGTGTTGGAGAGAAGTTCTGGATAAGTTACGCAGAAGTTATCCACAAGTTCCTCAGAGGTTTAGGATATGCTAGACGCCACGACTGATGAGGAACTGACACTGAACGGATGTCAATCAGATAACTGACCTGCAACTTATGGCCCACATATGGCATACGTCTTGAGCAGGGGTTGACGTTAAGGATTTTTTCCACTTGCCCAAAGGGCAAGTGTCTTTCACATTTCATTTGCCCAGAAACAATTTTTACTTGCCCAGTATAACGTTTGATAAATATAGTTCCTAATATTCATTTTTGTATATATATCAACGAAACATGTTTGTTTTTTAAATGTTTTTTGTAATTCAGTATTTTTTAAGTTTCCAGGTTCCTGGTGTGTATCTGCATGCGTCAGATAATGAACTCCAGCCTACATTACCGTGTTAACATGCTTTTCAATCCTTCATGCACATTCTTTTCAAACTAAACTTTGCTTTAAACTGTTGTGTGCTTGGAAAAATATAAATTGTAATGTTAAAAATCTAAAAAAAAAAAACTTGACAGGTTAAAAACTTACACTACTACTACTCACCAATCTAACATGTTTAGCTCTATAACATTTAAATGCACCACTCCAATGTCTAAGAGAAAATAATTTAGTGAAAATTTTTTAATGCATGACCTGCATCACTGAACAGAAGGCTGACATATGATAGAAATATTTACACTGTGCGCATACAATTATTATTATTTTCCTAATCCCTGACTGATCATTTTTAATCTAGCGTGTTTTATAGTATAGATTAAATTCATCATCCAGCGGCTGCGCTGCAGAATTCTCTCCCCAAGGAGAGAAAAATCACGCCATCTAGCGGAAAATCATGTGGCTTTTTCAAATCACGTGAGAATGTGTACAAAACAACAAAGATAACCTGACTCCGCCAGATGGATTTGCTCCGCATATCCATCTGGAAACCTTCCGTTGAAGTAATTTTGGGAAGGGGTGAAAATACTGGTTAGCTGATTGGCCTATGTTGGTGATAGACGGGCCAAATAAACCAATCAGATCAACGAAGCATATGACGTACTAACAGAGCGACGACGAAAACACAACCACAAGCCAGGCTACTCTTGCCAAAACCAGTCGGGAGAAGAGCAAAAACATCTTTTCCTCTGAGAAAAGCCTCCAGAGCAGTGTTTTGCTCTTCTTTCAGTGAACAAATACTCTGTAATTCCGATAAAACTTGCTCGATAGCCACGCTAACGCTAGTTTCATCGGCTGAAGCTGCCATGTTCTTTAGACTGAACTGTCGCGCTTCTCGTTGCGTCACGCCTCAACCCGCCTCAAAGCCAACGCTGATTGGACGTTCGTTTGGTGAACGGCTCCAAATTTTCTTCAAAGGAGAGTCTCCAGAAATGATCCGAGAGTTAAACCTTGAAAGCTCGCGAGATCAGGATGGTCTCACGAGGCTAAATAACAACTAGAGATTTTGAGCATGCTCAAAATCTCTCGATATCCTAGCAGTAGGACGTGTCCCAGTGTGCTTCAGCTCATTACTTATACAAAACGTACGCATAACTTATCCAATGTATGCCAGCGTTTCGTACGTCAGGCATACACTGGCTTTACATCATAGAGGACAGAGGAAAAGAGCTTAACTTTCCTCTCTGATTGGAGTCCCTGTATGTTAGAGGCCATGACTAACTGAACAATAGGCACCAGTAGATGGTGGCTGGGTCAGTCCCTCTGCGCAGCTCCACCAGTTTGTCTCTGGTTGTGGTATCGAACAGACGGATGAGGGTTCCTTTGCGGGATGCCGAAGCTGCAACACTGCCCGGCTGGTTCAAGGCCACGCAGGCGATCTCACTCTGGTGGGCGTTGATGGTAAACGGTGCAGATGATGTGCCGGGTTTGGTGTTGGACAAGTCCTGAAAGAAAGACAAAAATATTTTATAAGCCAAATACCTGATCTAGAATGACACATTCTTCCTTGATTTGCAACTTACAACCAGCTGGAGGCTTCCACATTTATGACCAGGAAATACCAGCAGCTGTTTCTCCAGACTGGGACATAGATCACAGATACCTGCAAGAAACATCCATGTTTTCAAAGGTCGCACAGTGAAGGAAGGACAGAAATCTACCATCGAGAGAGAGGCGTCACCTTTGGGGTTATCTCTGGTGTCAAATTCAAAAAGCTTGACAGGGTTGTCTGGAAAACTGTACACAAAGATCTTGTTCTTCAACACAATGATGATCCTGCAACGACAGGTGTTCTCATTTAGCTGCTGTGATCTGTGCATCTGGACAAGGAGCATCAACAGAAAAAAGGCTGAGGGGAGAGGAGCCTCACTTGTCGTGTCTCATGCGGACGGCTAGAACAGGTTTGGTGAAGGTGAACTCAAGCACCAGCTTATCTTTGGAGTCCCGGGATTCTCGAGCATCATCCCAGATCAGAACTTAAACAAAAAAATGTGTTTGTTTTATTCACAGGAAAGAAAACAAAAAAGGAGGAAATAGATTAAATAAAAACTATTCAGGTCGGAAGACACCGACTCACCGGATATTTCTGAGAATTTAGGATTCACTCCACCTCCAACCAAGGCCAGCAGGTTGGAGCGATGCAGCATGGAGCACAGAGCTACACTGCCTACCTGCTCATGATCTGCAGACAAAACAGGTAAAAAAGGCTCCATTCATAAAAATAATCTTTAGACTGATTGGCAGCAGCATTAACACAGTTGATATCATGACAAGAACAAAGGTCTTAAGTCCGGAAAACAGCAAATCTGATTTTGCGTCTGATCCGACAGAAAATCGTGTCAGACGAGGTTGTGGTGTTTGAAAGTCAATGGTGATGATCACACCTGACATGTGTTAATGTGCATGGATCTGAGATAGACTGCAGGCAGGGGCAGGTTTAGGAAATATAAGGCAAACACAGGCATGTAGACAAGCCATGATCTGCTTATCTGTCTGCCATTCCTGTCTATTAGGCAGACAGGAAATGGGATTAGAGAGAGGGGACCCGCATTGTGGGCTCATTCACCTAGATTTGTGTTTCCTGGATGGGGTTCCTTTATACCTCTGCTGCTTTTTGTATCTCTACTTCTGTCTCCTTGAACCCCAGTGGGCCTCAGCAGATGGCCGCTCACACTGAGCCTGGTTCTGCTGGAGGTTTCTTCCCGTTAAAAGGGAGTTTTTCCTCTCCACTGTCACTACAAGCATGCTTAGTGTGAAGGTCTACCTTCAAGTCCATGAGTCAATGTCATCAGCTGATTTTCCTTAGATAGAAAACTTTGAATCAAGCTGACTGCATGATCTGGTTGAACTGTAAAGTGCCTTAAGATGACTTGTGTTGTGAATTGGCGCTATAGAAATACACTGAATGTAATTGACTTAAAGCTTCTGCACATGGGTGCAGAGAGCTTAGCTCCTGTACCACAGCTGCCCCTAGTTTTAATACAGTGAATAGATTGAATGATAGCAGGGAGGACAGCCTCCTAGACTCACCAAGGTGACCCTTCTCCATCAGCGGCTCCACGTTGTAGATTTTGACTCCAGTCTCCATTGCGCAGCAGAAACAGCCTGGAATGATAAACAGCAAAAGCTTGCCGTATTTATCGGTTCTGCATATTTTCTGTCAGGATCTCCTTCAGCTTTTTACACTGAGGATCCTCAAAGCATCACTGTTGATAGTTTTAAAAACAATGAAAAGGTTTTCTAGAAGCAAAGAGTGTTTGAGTATAAAAAACAGTTTCAAGAGACAGTTGAACAACAACAGTGTCTTCAGTCAGAGGCTTCTACAGGTCCGCTGTAAGACCGACTGCTACAGGAGATCCTTCCTACCAACACTAATTATTAGTTTTTCAATTAATCAATTAATAATCAGCCAAAGGTTCTTTAAAGAAGATTCTTTACTAAATTAAACCAGATGAAAGTAAAACTTTTCCACTTGATCAGTAAAGCGTTTTTGAATTAAATTCATCATCTTTATTTGTATAGCCCTTTAAAACAGCTACAGTTAAAAATAATGTGCTGAAAATAGCTAAAAATAATGAAACACAATAAAAGAATAAAATACAGCATAAAATATAAAATAAAGCTCTCCACAACCACTATTGAGCATTTTTTCTTTTGATAAACTTTACACGTTGAAGTGCACTTTCACAATCAACTACAGCTGCTTGGTTCCAGGTACTCAGAGATTCATTTCCATACAGAAAGCCCATATTCTGATCTTCAGTTACCACAGATTACATGTCAGATTAAATAATACTACTTCAGCGATAGTATCTAGGTGTTACTTTATTTTATGTCTCCTTCCATGTCTGTTGGTTGTTCTGTTCTTTTTCCATCTCTTTGCAGGTGATGAAGCAGAATGTAAATGTTTTATCATTATCTCCCTTTTATCTCCTCTTTCTTTCATTTTTTCTCCTTTTTTTCTGTTTTTCATTTCCGGTTTACTCAAATTGCAGTGTCCATATAATCTGTAAAACTCCCTGCATAATAATAATAAAGCAATTTATATCAATAAATCAAGCGGAACACTATGGCGATAGCCGTACTGCTCCTCTTATGAAAGTAAAATCTGTTGGGCTCTTTTTGGCATCAAGACAATTATTCTTATTGCCACATTGCCAGACTGGACACTGTTAAAAAATAAAATAAGGAAATAATAAGAATTTGCTTTTGCTACATAAACAACGTCACAACAACCAAGTCCTTCCAGTGTTTAAGGCCAGCAAATCAAAGGAAAGTTTTTATATTTGGCAGGGAAGGAGCCTCCCTAATGTGCAGCAGAGGTTATTCCATAAATGAGGAGCAGTGATAGATAGAGGTGAGTATTGGCATGAGTGTTGCGATTCAATACATGTTGCGATACTTGGGTCACGATACGATATTATCACGATATTGCAGTATCACTATATATTGCCATATTTTCCCCAGCTATCAAAATCAAATGATGAGATAAAACAGCAAGTGCTGTATATTTTCATCAGAAAATATTGATTAGGTATTATTATCCATGTTGTTTGGGGTTTTCTTCCACTATGACTGCCTCAAATACAGATTTGGTGCTGCACACACAGTTAAAGGGCTCCACAGCGCTTTCTGCCAGAGTGGTGGTGCAGAGGTAGCCCATTTTCCCATCAATGTTTTATGTAACCATTTTCTTTATGAAAATCGATACTAAGAAGCGAAAGATCGATATTATATTGGGCAGCCAAATATCACCATATATCGCCAAAACGATTATTTCCCACACCCCTAGTGATAGAGAAGGCTGTCGCCCCTCTGAGCTTCCTCTTAAACCTCGGTACCTGCAGGAGCTGCTGTTCCGCCGCCCTGAGGGACCGAGGAGAAGAAAATCAGAGGTAGCAAGGTCATTTAAAAACAAGATAAAATGTTAAAATCAACTCTAAACACACAGGAGCCAGTGGAGTGAAGCCAGGACAAGAGTGATGTGATCATATGTTGGAGTGCCAGTTAAAGGAGGGCCATTACAGTAATCCAATTAAATAAAAGCATGTATAACTGTTTCAAAGGGCTGCTGTGAAAGATAAGGTTTTAGTTTTTGCAATTGTCTTAATTCATAAAAGAGTCACAACTGCTCCAATTTGCTTTCACAATCTAAAGGGGTCCTGGGTCTATAGAAGTGGATTAGTCGGCCGATGGGGGAGGAAGTGGGGGCAAGTTTGTGCGACAACAGAAGGACATGAGGGTGAAAAGGAGTGGCGATCCAGGTGGAAAAAGGGTCCCAGCGTTCTAACGCACCTCGCTCTTCTAGCTGCTCCATCTTCAGTCATTTTCCACAATGGCGGCCATACAAACAAAACAAGCCGGTGAGGAACCAAACAGGAAATACGCATAGTGTAGAGCTGATGTACATTTGACCAATCAGAGGCCTCCTGTCTGCGGCACGGCCTGGGGTCACCTACAATTTTGGAGAGGAGCACCCAGATGACCTGGAGTATACAGGTGCTGGTCATAAAATTAGAATATCATGAAAAAGTTGATTGATTTCAGTAATTCCATTTAAAAAGTGAAACTTGTATATTATATTCATACATTACATACAAACTCATATATTTCAGATGTTTATTTTGTTTAATTTTGATGATTACAAATGACAACAAATGAAAATCTCAAATTCATCATATCAGAAAATTAGAATATTACTGAAGACCAATAAAAACAAAGGATTTATAGAAATGTTGGCCAACTGAAAAGTATGAACATGAAAAGTATGAGCATGTACAGCACTCAGTATTTAGTTGGGCCTCCTTTGGCCTGTATTACTGCAGCAATGCGGCGTGGCATGGAGTCGATCAGTCTGTGGCACTGCTCAGGTGTTATGATAGCCCAGGTTGCTCTAATAGTGGCTTTTAGCTCTTCTGAATTGTTGGGTCTGGTGTATTGCATCTTCTTCTTCACAATACCCCATAGATTTTCTATGGGGTTAAGGTCAGGAGAGTTTGCTGGCCAATTAAGAACAGGGATACCATGGTCCTTCAACCAGGTACTGGTAGCTTTGGCACTGTGTGCAGGTGCCAAGTCCTGTTGGAAAATGAAATCTGCATCTCCAAAAAGTTGGTCAGCTGCAGGAAGCATGAAGTGCTCTAAAACTTCCTGGTATGTGGCTGCGTTGACCCTGGACCTCAGAAAACACAATGGACCAACACCAGCAGATGACATGGCACCCCAAACCATCACTGACTGTGGAAACTTTACACTGGACTTCAAGCAACGTGGATGAAGTGCCTCTCTTCTTTTCCTCCAGACTCTGGGACCTTGATTTCCAAAGGAAATGCAAAATTTACTTTCATCAGAGAACATGACTTTGGACCACTCACCAGCAGTCCAGTCCTGTTTCTCTTTAGCCCAGGCAAGACGCTTCTGACGCTGTCTGTGGTTCAAGAGTGGCTTGACACAAGGAATGCGACAGCAGAAACCCATGTCTTTCATACGTCTGTGTGTGGTGGTTCTTGAAGCACTCACTCCAGCTGCAGTCCACTCTTTGTGAATCTCCCCCACATTTTTGAATGGGTTTTGTTTCACAATCCTCTCCAGGGTGCGGTTATCTCTCTTGCTTGTACACTTTTTTCGACCACATCTTTTCCTTCCCTTCGCCTCTCTATTAATGTGCTTGGACACTGAGCTCTGTGAACAGCCAGCCTCTTTAGCGATGACCTTTTGTGTCTTGCCCTCCTTGTGCAAGGTGTCGATGGTCGTCTTTTGGACAACTGTCAAGTCAGCAGTCTTCCCCATGATTGTGTAGCCTATAGAACTAGACTGAAAGACCATTTAAAGGCTTTTGCAGGTGGTTTGAGTTAATTAGCTGATTAGAGTGTGGCACCAGGGGCCATCAATTTTGAACCTTTTCACAATATTCTAATTTTCTGATATGATGAATTTGAGATTTTCATTTGTTGTCATTTGTAATCATCAAAATTAAACAAAATAAACATCTGAAATATATGAGTTTGTATGTAATGTATGAATATAATATACAAGTTTCACTTTTTAAATGGAATTACTGAAATCAATCTACTTTTTCATGATATTCTAATTTTATGACCAGCACCTGTAAACCAGCCTTTACTCTGAGCTTGAGGTGAGCATGCGTTATTGCTAAACTCATAGGAGCAAAACATGCACACACAAAAAAACGCTTAATTTCATATGACATATTAAAAAAATCTCCATCAGCATCCAGCATACGTTCAGTTTTTGTCCAAATATTTTCCATTGTTGTGGATTTCCTTTGACAGTGATAATTAGGATCAAACAAAATTCTTTAAATGAATTATGTTTGTTCTCTACTTCCAAACTCAGCCTCTGCATCCATGCCGCCGGCGATAAGAAGCTTCTTTTGAAGTTGTCCGATGCGCCCTTGGAACTGTTGCCTGTGTTTGACAAAACTTTCAAGCCTCTTGGTATAAAATAAATATTTTGATCGAGATGAGAAATCTGCTTCCTGGTCTGTTGAGGTACCAATAGTTTGCATCCAATCATTTAAACACTCTTTCATATTTATTCATGTAGTGTAACGTAACCAGAGTATCTTAGAGTATTATTTTGATCTTTTGTTCTTTGTGTAATGGAAGCAGCTTTTCCAACGGTTGCATTTCCGAATTCTCCCGAGTGCCCGACTTTAAACAAGTGGATAAAGTGAATGTGATTGGTCGATTATCAAGGGGGATTGTTGTGGCGGAAGGTTCACAAGCAGTTTGATTGTGGCCAGTTTGTCGGAAGCATCTTGTTAACCAGTTAGCAACTTAGTGCTAGTAGGTTCCAAATGCTAGTGCTACTTGGTCCCAATTCCATTGGGACCAAGTAGCACTAACATTGGTGACTTAGAAACAAGGCTGTCAAGGAACGCTATGGACAGAGGAAACATGCAAGAGGAGGAGAGTTTAGTGTCGGAGGTCGTGGATGAGTCTCCTCCGTCATCCATTTTTTATTTAGAGGAGGAAAGCGGGGACGAAGATGTTGTGGAAGAGGACGCCAGGGCGGCAGAAGCTTGGTTTGGTGTAGAAGGCTTACGGCCGTACATGTTTGAGCCCTTGCCTCACAACGCTGCCAGTTCTGTTAGCTCTACGCCTGCTGAAGACACAGACGTCCATCCCCGTGAACACTGGGACGGAACTCAATGGGAAAGGAAAGGATTCTGATTTCAACCGTTGCATATATTAGCTGCGACATATGAACCAAGATGCTATGGCCGAAAAAATTTGATTGACAGATGAGCGTTGATATACGATTGGCCGAATTTAGGTGTTCAGGCTGACATATAAATAACTGGCCTGCGTAAGATAACAACAAAAAAACACAGATTTTAACACAGGATTTTTTTAAAATAAAAATGTGCAAACATTTGGGACAATAGGGTCTGATAAAGAGTACATTTATATACACGTTTAATCTAGAATGATTTGACATTTAAATATGACTTCCATCCATTAATTTTGTGACACAATTAATCCAGAGTGGGTCCCATGGGGTGCCTATGCCTGTGCCAACATAACAGTCATGTTTTTGGACTGTGGGAGAAAGCCAGAGTACCCAGAGTGAACCCACACATGCACAGGGAGAACATGCAAATTCCATGCATACAGACCCCGGGAATTGAACCCAGAACCTTCTTGTTGCAAAGCAGCAGTGCTACCCACTGATCCACTGAGCAGGCCTTTCCCTACCACCCTGAATAGTATAGTAATATCATTATTTCTTTGTGGATTTTGGATTTTAAGAGTCACGCGTGACATAAACACAGAGACTCAGGTTCATACCAGATGACCAAATCTACATTGTTATTGTGAATTTTAATTAATAGCGCATATATTCATTCATCACCTGAGAACTGATGTCTGTGTTACTGATCCTGGTTGCGTGCACTGAACTGAATATCACAAGTAGTGAATCTCAATCTATTTACTTATTTTCCTGTATTTTAAATAGGTTTCTAAGCCTTTTGTCCCAAAATAAATTCACAGTTCTCCCTGTTCACAAGTACTTCCTGTTAAAGCTGCCAAAACACAGACCTAATGTAAACACGAGCACCAGAGCCTGTCCAGCTGCACTCTTCCTCTTTTCTTTTACTGTAGTTGTTCAGTGGGATTATTTTCCTGGTCGGTAAAATAAATGTTTGACAAAGGGCTCCAAAGCGAGGCTTACTTTGATCCTGGTTGAACTGCAGGCTGTTGACTCCTCTCTGCTGAGCCATAGCGGCGGTGATAAAAAGCTCCCAACTGTAGCTTTATTTTCCACCCAATTAGAACCGAGGAGGAGAGACAGGCTTCACAGGTATGTTCAGCTTCCAGGTGACAGAAAGACAAACGGCCGCTGTCGATCCAACTGCGTCAGTAGCATCGGTTTCTGCGATGTAAACAAAAACAAAGCGCAGCTCTTCTGCCTCCTTCTGTCACTGTTGGCTTCTTGGAGCTTTGCTGCCACCTACTGGTCCGGAGGACTTGGGCTCTTTTTGAAACAGACACAAATATTGCTGGAGCTATTTATTCATTTCTTTATCCATATGGATTCTGATAGTTTATTCTTAAAAGTATATTCTTGTATTATTTACAGAGTTTATTTGCAGGTTAATAATTGTTGACTTTCTTTTTTTGATATTTATTGATTTAATATTTTGTTCTGAGGTAAGACAGGAAGTAATGTAGGCAACTGGGAAAGGAATCCCATCTGGGTCAGAGAACCAACAGTTCAGCTAATGACAAGTTTAAAACTTCTGTAGCAGTGTCCCAAAATTGCAGAAGAATAATTGATTGTAAAATAGGAAATATTTATACTTTTCATGGTAGAAGTGATCAATTGTAGTGCTCAGACAAAGAAAATGGAATAAATTAAAATAGTGAAAGCTGCAGAAACGTATCTTGGAGTTAGAGATTTAAACAGGGAAAGGGTTGAAAGTATGAAGGTAAAATGAGTAGGACCATCAGAAATTGGCAGTGACAATAATTTAATGATAAATTAGAAACTATGAGGACGAATTTGATTATTTGTTGGTTTAAATTAAACAGCTCAGAAAATAAATTTTAATTCATTTTTATTTAATTTTTTCGGAGGGTTTTTTTTTTGTTTCCCGTTTCCTTATTTAACTCCTTATCAGTTGGTGGCAGTAATGTACTTTAGTTTTAGAACCTCAATGAAACAAGAAAAAGGACCAGCAGGCATTTTGGGTTTGGGCTCTATGGTTTTTACCTGAACAAGAGAGATAGCAGAAAGAACAAAGCAAAGTTTGAACTCTAATTGCTGGCTAAAAGAAAAAATAAATCATCCAGAATAAACAAGTTTGAAACAAACCTTTTTTAGCTCAACTCCTCCAGTCTCATTTTCAGAGACCCTGAAGGATCCAGTCCAGGTCCTTGGAGGATGAAACTGCTGAAATCGAACACACCCCGGGTGTTCAGCGCTTCTGTGAAAGTCTTTCATTTATCAATATACAGGGCATCTTCTTAAAGAAAAGCTCATTAAAACCTCTTTTGGTCAGTGTCCTTAATTAAAAAAGGCATGCAATGAAACATGATTTTAAATATGTTCTACATGATTTAGCCAGAAACTTTTCCTATATTTAGATTGCTCAGAAATTCTGAGCTGGTATTGAAATGGCCTAAGCTGTATTCCTGAATATAAAAACCCAAGATTCCTACATGCTGGAACCAAGGGGAAAAAGATAAGCTATACAGTTTGGAAGCTGCATCAGAATTGATCAGTACCACAGTTTAGAAAGAAAAATATACATATAAAACACAGTACATCCAGGGGAGGATTTAGGAAAATTGGGGCCCTAGGCAAAGACAGGCAGGGGGCCCTCTGAATTGAGAAAACACAAACCTGACCCATTACAGAAATTTTAATAGAATAGACATGGATTATTTGTTCCTCTCGCCCCTTTTCTTGTCGTTTTCCTGTTTTGTACTTAGTCGACTTTTCATGCCATCTCAAAAGGAATGAAGGATTTTTTCTAAGCACTAAGCTCACTTAGCCGATTTCTGCTTCCTTTGTTTCCAAAAAGGTACAAAAGGCATAAAATAAAATAACCCAGTCCTTTTCACTGTAGACAAGCCATGATCTGCTTATCTGTTCTCCATTTTTCATTTGGATGAAATAATAGCTGCATGAATCATGACAGCAGACAAGATAGAGAGCAGGAGGCGGGGTTACCAATCTACTCGCTCTGGAGAGCAGAGTTTGCCGCTTTTCGATGTTGTCTCCAAAGTCTCCAGTATCAGAAAAAAAAGTCGCTAGATTTTGCGCTAGGCGCTTTTTTGAAATCAGAGTGCTAGAGGGGTCTGAAGTGTCACTAAATATAACAAAAACACTAAGTTAGCAACACTGCTCTTTGCATCGTTTTCAAATGCTTTGCTGCTGTCTGTTTGGACCTTTCTGAACATTTGCAGCAAATGGCCTGATCCAAAATGGTGGACACTGAAGGGGGAGGGGCCTGAGACGGACTTAATATGATTGCATTTTAGGGAAAGGATTATTATCCAAAACATAATTAAATTGCACAAATAAGGAATAGTTGTATTTACCATACATGTAAACAGAGTTTTATGGGGCCCCCAGGAACTTGGGGCCCTAGGCAACTGCCTAGTATTGACTAATGGTAAATCCCCCCCCCCACCCGAGTACATCAGTCGAGCATAACCTCGTGATTAAAGTCTCACAAATGTTTAAGTAGCCAGACACGTTTTTTGTTTACCTAAAAGAATAAAAACATGGACAAAAGCAGCAAAGTAAACTAAACAACCAAACTCAAGTAACAATTTATTTTAAATTATGGTAAAACATTTAGATAAGTCTAAGTTCTGCTCTCCGTTGGTGTAGCCATCCCCTCTGGTGGCTTAGTTCAGGTTCTTCCAGGAGATATTTCAATCAGCTTTCCACATCAGGCTTTACTTTTAAAGAATCTGTGGGAAGGGGTTAAAATAAATAAGATTATTCTTTGAATAAGTAGAATATCCAACAAAACTTGAAACTCCAAGGCAGAAATCTAAATAAACCTTTTAGTACAGAATAAGTCTTTAGGAACCGATTATAGATTCAGCCTTTAATGCTTTATCAAAACATTTCTTGGTTTTAGAACTATTGTTAATATCCCACCCCCGTTTTTATTCTCACCATCCTTGAATGCAAAATATGCCTAACTGGTAAACACAATGAGGTCATAGTTCACATTAAGAGCAGGTCAACTCTGGAACATACCACAGTTGTAGAGAAGTAAGATTTTCTTGATATCCGTTTCCATCAGTTTATTCCTCTGTCCCATTTCCTTTACGGTTTGTTTGGGGATGATCGTGGGTTTTCCATTTGAAGAAAAAAAACTTCTGCCACAGGAAAGAGTTATTAGAATAAGCCTTATTTGCAAAATCTGTGTTCAGAAAGATTTTGATCGTACAGAGAAATATACAGACTAGCGATGGATGATAGATTAGACAAAAAAAATCTTGGGGTGGAACCTGAAACCATCTTTGTGTGATTTTTAATCCTAAGTCACTGGCTTGGCATAATGAGATGAAACACTAAACTGATGCTGCTACAATTTACACCGGCGAGTGGGTGGCCAGTAGCCTCGCGAGACCATCCTGATCTCGCGAGCTTTCAAGGTTTCACTCGCTAATCAGTCTGGCTACTCTCCATTGAAGAAAATTTGGAGCCGTTCACCAAACGAACGTCCAATCAGCGTTGGCTTTGAGGCGGGTTGAGGTGTGACGCAACGAGAAGCGCGAGAGTTCAGTCTAAAGAACATGGCGGCTTCAGCCGATGAAACTAGCGTTAGCGTGGCTATCGAGCAAGTTTTATCGGAATTACTGAGTATTTCTTCACTGAAAGAAGAGCAAAACACTGCTCTGGAGGCTTTTCTCAGAGGAAAAGATGTTTTTGCTCTTCTCCCGACTGGTTTCGGCAAGAGTAGCCTGGCTTGTGGTTGTGTTTTCGTCGTCGCTCTGTTAGTACGTCATATGCTTCGTTGATCTGATTGGTTTATTTGGCCCGTCTATCACCAACATAGGCCAATCAGCTAACCAGTATTTTCGCCCCTTCCCAAAATTACTGCAACGGAAGGTTTCCAGATGTATATGCGGAGCAAATCCATCTGGCGGAGTACGGTTAGGTGGCCAGGGCATTGCTCAGGTTGGCCGTGGCCGTTGATATGCGTCGGAGATAAGTTACGCATAAGTTAAGCACAACGTCAGTAAATTCTGAGCATGCTCAAAACTTTGTCGACGTGTGCCAGCGTGTTCATAACTTAAAACATACCCAGAACTTATCCAACGTATGCCAGTGTTTTTGCCAGATTTTCCGTACGTCAGAGGGCACTCGCTGGTCTAAACTGTCAAGGTGTGACCGGGGTTTTAGATGCTCAACCCTGGTCCTCAGGGCCAACTGTCATTCATGTTTCAGAAGAGCCCAAAAAAAACGGCAAGACTGCTGATTTTTGCATCAATTATCTGTTAAAAATGTCCAATGAACAGTATAGAAATAAATACAAATTTACCGAGAAAGCCATTTTTAACTAAACCTTTAAAACAATCTTACCTTCCATAGTGCATGATCGAACTGTAGTCATATGGAACAGAAAACGTTTTCCCACTCATCTTTTTAAAGTTCTTCTCCATTCCTAAAACATTCACAACAACATTATTTAAAAACACTTTAGACAAGTTTACCTTGAGCTTTATCATTCTGTTGAACCAGCAGTAGCTTAAACCATGTAGACCCAAAGTACAGGCAGACATCCTCTTTAATCTTCATTTCTTGTAATATGAATAATTACAGTAAAAGTTAGTTCATAAAATAATTCTTTATAAACTTGAGAAAAAGATTCTAACAAAAATAGTTTTTTGTCTGAGAAGTTTTGCTCTATTCTAAATATACTAATGTTAAAAACAATAAGGGAAGACCTCAGAAGAAATAAGATTAATTCCTTATGATAAGGATTGCAAACAAGTTGATTTGATAAAAAATTCCATAACTGAGAAAGGAATCTGGACAATGGTCCTGAATGCAGCAAAAGTCTCCATGCAGCAGTTGGTCTATAGTCACACTACAGGCGTTAACATAGTTGGACCTTCAAATAAACCAAAATCTCAAACTAAAGCTTAGAGCACACTGGGTCAAAAAACATTGAAAATACTCAAGGCTGCTGAAAGTCTTGAATATAAGGCCTGCACTTTGTTGACTTGGAAATTTTGTAGGAATCAATGGAACAGCTGGTTCAAATTGTATCCATCCGACCAATTTCAGTTTGTTCACATCAATGATAAATCTTTCTCATGCTCAAGGGCTACCTGTGGTGTACCACATGGATCAGTGCTAGGACCAATTCTCTTTACTTTTGATTTTGATAATTTCATGCGCTTACTGATAAGTAAAGAAAACGCTAACAGATGTATCGCACGCTACTCTACAGGAATACGTTTTGAGCTGTTAAAGCTTGGACAAGCTTTTTCACTAAGGGTTTAAACAATGATATAACAAATGTTCATGTCTTCCTCATATGCTCATTACATTTCCATTACCAAATTATAACCAAACGTTATTCAATGGAATCGTGATGTCTATTCGCTGCTAGCTATTTCAAAGAGGGTAAAGAATCATTTAACTAAAGGTTATTGGTTCCTGATTAAGAAAATTATTTAATAAAACATTATTTGGCCACAATAATGTTTTATTCACCTCGTGGATTTGCATTGTGAATTGGTTTGAAACCATTTCAATTTCTCTAAATTAGCGAAAAGCTAATTTGATCATATCCCAAATTCTTCCAGATAAACTTTGGTTTTCAAACAAAATCCATCTTGAACTGTAATATGGTTTTCAACCATGTTTCCCTTCCTCTTTGTACATAGTTTAGTTTCACTAGTTTTAGTCAAGAGTTTTTAACTGAAATATGTTTGACTTTGAGTTGAATGTTTTTTGTTATACTCTTATTTTGAACAGAAGTTGTGATGAATTTATTCCATGTATGTGCAGAATTAACTGTTTGACCATGATTAGTGCTCGAATCACTCTTTCATTTGTTGTTCTTACACACAGCTAGTAGGGCATGTGTTCATAGAAAAAAATGACAGTCTGAATAATATCCGACTTAATAGGAGATTTTTCACCCCAGGAGGGTAGGGCAACAAACATCTTAAAGTATCACAGCATAATATGGCGTCCCAGCTGGCAGGACATTGAATATAACAGTTATTTACAGCACTATCAAGTCCACAAACTGTAGTTAAGAGCCTTCAGCTGATCCCGAATGCTGCAGCCAAAAAAATTAAAGAGATCATATTTCCCCTCTTAGTTTCTCTTAATCGGCTTCCTGTTAAATCCAGAATAGAATGTTAGATCCTTCTCACATATAAAGCCTTAAATGGCCAAGCTCCATCTGATATCAGAGATCTGATTGTTCCTTATGTTCCTAACAGAGCATGTTGCTCTCAGTCTGCAGGTTTACTAGTGGTTCCTAGAATTTCTAAAAATAGAATGGGAGGCAGATCTTTAGTTATCAGGCTACTATACTAACTACTACCAGTTTTAGTCCATCAGGTAGACACCCTGTCTACTTTTAAGGCTAGACTCAGGTTATCCTGAGCCATCTCTACAGTTATGGTGCTATAGACTTCGACTGCTGGAGGACATAGGGACCCCTTTTCATCATTCATCTACATTATCCGATTCTGCAATTTTTGCTCTCTGCTTTTTCTAGTAGCTTCATCTGGTCTGTTCCAGTTCGGCTGTGACGCCATGCTGGAGAGAAATAGCTGTGCTACTGCCATCAACAGATTTGTTTATAGATGATAGAGCTCGGCCTGTTTTTCAGTTTAGTCCTGTTTCTCCGACTGTGACTATGTGCTCTCTTCATCCTCTGACATGGGAGCTGCCTCGGAGCTCGTCTCCCTTACTGTGTTTTACCCCGACGGGGCCGCCTGCAGAGCTGGTTGAAAATTGCCTTTTGTATCTCTGCTTATTTCTGTATCTCTGCATCCATCTCCTTTAACCCCAGTCGGCCTCGGCAGATCCCGCTCACGATGAGCCTGGTTCTGCTCGAGATTTCTTCCTGTCAAAACAGTTTTTCCTCTTCACTTTCACTACAAGCATGCAAAGTGTGAGGGATTGCCTTCAAGTCAATAAGTTGATGCATCAACTTCTTTTCCTTAGGTGGAAAACTTTGAACCAATCTGACTGTATGATCTGGTTTAATTGTCTGTTAAGTGCATTGAGATGACCTGTGCTGTTAATTGGTGCAATATAAATAAACTTAATTTAATTGACCTACATCCCTTTATATTTGCAGCTGTAAAACTAATTTCCCCACTAAACCAATAAAGGCGTTTCCTATTTTAAATTTAATGCACTTTTTGCTTTCCCTAATTTTGTATTTACCATTTAAAAAGTTGTTTTGGTGTAGAATCTGGCTTCATCTCTTTATTCAGGTTCAATTTAAATATTTACAACCAGGATTAAGACTTAATTTTAATTTGCCAATGCATGAAAGCCAAACCACCATCAGATCATAGACATTTACACTTTACCTGGGATTATGTTGCTCTGAACAATTTCAATATAATCGTCCCGGTCCAACCTGGTGTGTTCATGTTGGAAACCAAGACTGTGAAGAATTTCATGAGCGATGTTTCCGACATTGCACGATGGTCCGACAAACACACTCTGCTGACCTCCCATGAAGCCCACATGTGCAGCACAGCTAAGGGGCGACAGATGAGATTTTATTGGAGAACATTATGCAAATCTGAACCCAAATCTCACTTGAGTAAACTGAGAATATGTTTTGTTTTGAGTTCCACTGGTTGAAAATTCCACATACCCATTGCTAATTTCGAAGAGCACATAGTTTTTTTCAGTGGGTTCTCTCCTATGGAAAGTTATACAGGTGTGTTCAGACACCATAGCCATTGCAGCAATTACATCATCTGTTCTATGCTCTTAAAAAAAAGAAAGCGTTTGTTAGAAAGCATTTCATTAGTTGTGTTTTTCTAGTTTACATCCAAGGCACTTACTTATTTCTGGGCTGATCTCATATGGTAAGGCTGTAGTTGGCCAAGAATCTCCCACAGCATTCCTGTCTGTCTGGAATGCAAACAAGACGTGTACAAAAAGGTTACGGGTGTCCAGTTGACAACAAAGTTTTAAAAAGTTAAGACATTAAAACAGGATGTCTATGCCTAAACACATTCCATCCATTGCTATACCCGCTTGTTCCTATTTTGGATCCCCGAGAGGTCAGTGCCTATCTGGGCATCACCGGGCCAGGCCGGATACACAGTGGACAGGCCATCAGTCCATCAGAGGGCAACACATATGACAAACAAGACAAAACCATTCATGTACACTAAAACCCAAATGCAATTTAGAATCTCTAAATAGCCAATACATATTCATACAGGTCATACTTTTACCCAAAAATAGAGCCATGTATGCATTGCAGTGGGTTATGAAAGTATATGTACTCTAAAGCCACTGGTCTCAGAACGACAGCAACTTCTAGATGTATATTTGCTTCCACACACAGACTGCTGCCAGCTGCGGTTCAGTCATTTCATTTAGACGTTTAGGTAAAGAGATATTACTAGTTGCAGGACCCCTGGAAATGGAAGCGAGACCACGATCATAAGGTAAAGCCATTTTAAAGCTTGAAGTTAATAGATCAGATGAATGTTCAGCCACAGCTTGCAGGATAACTATAAGTATCTAATCCGTCTAAATAACCAGCTGATATTCAATCATACTGGAGAAGCTCAACTTTAAAAAATAGCCTGCACTAGAGGAACATCACATACTGGTCTGAAAATGTATCTTATATTACAACATTGATATTTGAAAATCAGTAGGCATAATCCTCTTATTTCAGCTGAAATTAGACAGATTTTATTCTACATTCATTTTAACCATAGATATTGCTCCTAATTTTTGACTGCTTAACTTTACAGATGGCGCCCCATAACTGCGTCACTAAAACCAAATAAACTGGTATGCAGTTTATGCACATCGGCATCATGTGGCTTCAATCACAATAATAATGCACAAAAATACTGTGTAGCACAAGAACATACATAGAGTTTTGAAATATAATTAAATTGTACAAAAGGACAATTGTATCAAACAAATAAAACCTTATTTGTTCTCCAACTACTTTACACTGCTCCTTGTCTATGTGTTAATCTGGACCCAAGACTTGATTCTTTTTGTATACAGGTGATGGTTTCTACATGAATTAAGTTATTTTCTTCTAAAATGCAATTATGGATATGTAATCAGTCTGGGTACCCGTTATATGCTGTACGTGGTGTGTTAGGTGGTGGGTGGCACCCCATTGAAGAGACATTAATGTTATGACAATTTTTGTACTTTAGGGCCAGCTTGCTTTGTACAGGAAAAAATACCCACCAAACTATGTAGATTAAAGCAGTGGATTGAAATGTAAATGGCGGCAATTTTTCCTCAGTCTTAAAGGAAAAGTCAGATCATACTCAGAATTCAAACTTCTGAAAGTACTTTAAATATGAAATGATTATATACTTCAAGTGTTTTTAATTAAGAGTAATTTTTTATTTAAATGTACTTTACTGGAGGCATCCATGTTTGTCAGAGAACACTATTGCCACCTACTGGTTTGCGACGTCACGGTGCGGTATCGGCTGTTGATCAAGTCCCAGTGCTGTATCTGGTGTTTGTCACAACACGCTATTATCCAAGTCCTCCAAGTGGGAAGAATGGCGCTAGGCTTACCGCACTGTGACATCACTGCCAGAAGAGGGCAGGAGTGAGGTGTTTTATTTGGGCAAAAATGGCCGCTCCCGGACTTTGATCACGACAAAGATTATTTTTAACTGATTAACTCTAAATTCATTAAATCACTGCAAATGTATTAGTTTTAGGTATAAATAATGATCCACTCATCATTCCTTGCTGACCGGACTTTTCCTTTAATTACTTGAACTTTATACCGTTACAAATGGCATGCACTGCCAGAGCCAAAAGTATTCATTTTTATTGCCCAAGTAGAAATCCTACTGATTAAAAACCATTTTGTAGAAGTTAGAGAATAAACTTACTTTTAAACTTTAATTTTAAAAATGGTTCTTTTACTGGAATAAAAAGGTTAAGTTAATTATCAAAAGTGTTTTTAAACAGTACAAGTTCTACGTAAGTAATGAACATTAATACTTTTAACACTTCAGCCTGCAATACAGATCAAATCTGGATAAGAAAAAATGGCTAAAAATTGTAGCGTTCGCCTATTAGCTTGCCAGATGGAGGTCAGCCCCGCTCTGAAACTATTCATACAAAACATGTCTGAAGCACAAATCTGCACTAAAACAAACCAAAAAAAAAGCTCTTTTTTTCGGCAAAACTTAAAGCCCTGTAAGAAATCCTTTGAAAAATAATTTTCAGAAAACATAGATCACTTTGCGTTAAATTCAAAAATGAAAAACGAATTTAACATTTTCAACTAAAAGTTCTGATGTTTTTTGTAATGATGAGTTTTGGTTTACTTGACATTTTTGTGAAAAGAAGCCAAACCCTCCCATAAAAAAAAAAACAACTTACATTTAATTCAACTCAAACTGACTGGAACAAAGTAAATAAACTGCAGGTGTGAAAATGCTCTAAAACACAGCATCAATCATCACTGCGGACAGTGATTAGCATGTCTGCTTGGTTTAATAGTCGTTTCTGTAACAAAATGTAAAATCTGAGCTTAAAAGTAGAATGGGAGGCAGATCTTTTAGTTATCAGGCTCCTCTCCTGTGGAACCAACTACCAGTTTTAGTCCGTGAGGCAGACACCCTGTCTAGTTTTAAGGCTAGGCTTAAAACTTTTCCTTTTTGATAAAGCTTATAGTTAGAGTGGCTCAGGTTATCCTGAGCTATCTCTATAATTATGCTGCTATAGGCTTAGACTTCTGGAGGACATAGGGACCCCTTTTTCATCATTCTCTCTCTATTCTCCCACTCTGCAGAATCTGTTAGTTCAATCTCTAACGTTCTGCTCTCTCTGCTTTTTCTCATAGTAGCTTCATCTGGTTTGTTCCTGTTTGGCTGTGACTCCATCCTGGAGAGAAATATCAGCTGTGCTGCTGCAATCAACACCTTTGTTTATAGACGTTGGAGCTTGGCCTGTTTTTCAGTGACTAACTGGATGTGCTCTCTTCATCCTCTGACATGGGAGCTGGCTCGGGGCTCGTCTGCGCCTAGCTGGGAGTTTCCTGGACGGGGCCGCCTTTTACAGCTGCATTTTGTGTCTATGCTTCTGTTTTCTTGAACCCCAGTCGGCCTCGGCAGATGGCCGCTCACACTGAGCCTGGTTCTGCTGGAGGTTTCTTCCTGTTAAAAGGGAGTTTTTTCTCTCCACTGTCGCTACAAGCATGCTTAGTGTGAGGGATTGCTGTAGAGTCAATGCAATCAACTGGTTTTCCTTAGAAAACTTTGAACCAATTCGACTGGATGATCTGGTGAACTGTAAAGTGCCTTGAGATGACGAATTGGCGCTATAGAAATAAAACTGAATTAAATTTAATTAACAGAACAAGAGGTTTGAGGTATTGTCTTGGCTTTCAAATGTCAAACCTAACACCCACATGCAAATCCATGATAATGGACAAACTAGTCCAAATCCTGGTTGCCGCACCTTGCAATGAAACACCTGGTTTTGTAGGATCTGTTTCAATCTGTTCCAGTATACATGAAAAATTACAACCATTTGTTCAACTAAATACTAGTGAGAAAAAATGTCAATTTAAAAAAAATGACCCATCTATTTGTCTTGAAATTTTCAGAACTAATTTCCACAGAAATTGAAGTGCAGATTTCATTTTGTAAAATGTTTATGAACAGTCATCTGTAGTAATAGATAGAAATGGACATTGCTGGCATTTTGCTGGTTTGAATGAACCTTTATAACAAAACAAAACGGCATTAAAGGCAAATGTGAGTGTTGCTTGCTCTTACCGACATCAACATATCTCCTTCCACCAATTCGATTCTGTCAGAGACTATTTCTGGGGGGAGAGAACAAAAACAAAATCACAGTTGTTAGGAAGGTATTGCTTAAAGTTTCTTAAAAGAAAAGAGAAAGCTTTCTCTGCAATATACCTAAAGACTGACCAAAAAGTAGCTGAAATGAAAACCAGAAACAGTGTGGCCTTACCTTCCAAAGTCTCTGGTTGAACGTTACCCATTGGTAATGTCTTGACGTCAACTACAGGAACTGAGGAAAAATAAATTGAGTCTTTGATTAAGTAACTTAAACTTTGTTTCCCCATAGATTTATTTGCATTTATACTAAAACATTGAGGAAGCACAGACTCCTGTCTTCAGAATGTTCTATCAATGTAACATTACAAACTAACTTCTCACCATTTTTTACTTGTTCAACAAACAGAAGAACCACTAAGAGCTGAAACAGCATTGCTTTTGTTCCACTTGAGCTTCTAGTGCCTCCCAATGTCATCACATGAAGTGAGATCACCTGGGAGCTCCAGACCTCTTCAAGATCCTGCTTCTTCTTCTTGTGAGGTTTAATGGCGGTTGGCAAACTTGTGAGAAGTGCATTACCGCCACCAACTGATATGGAGTAAAGCAAGCAAACAGGAAACCATTCACCCCAGAAACAAAAAAAGAAAAATTGTTTAATTTAACCCAACACAATAATCACCTAAATATCACTTTTTCCCTCATAATTTTAATTAATCTTTAAGTCATTGTCACTCTGCCAGTTTCTTATGGTCCTTTCGGTTTTCCCATCATGCTTTCACTGCAAAAACCATCTAGAAATAAGTACAAAATTTCTTAAAATAAGTGTATTTACTAGTGATGGTGAGATGAAGCCTCATGAGGCATTGAACCATTTGGCCAAATTGCTTCAACGATCCCCACAGTTCATGACGCTTCATGTGAACATGTCACCACCTACTGGTGGACAGCAGAACTACAGTTTGTAATAAAAAAATGTGATTTTTTTTTTGCATCTGTTTTTTCTTTTTTTCCCCTTTTAAGTTCCCTTGATATTGTTAATGGTTGGTGTGTATAATAACATTTTTATAAGTTTTTTTTTAAGTGTAAAATTTCTTAGAGCAATCATTTAAGGTGCACAGTTTATCTGCCATTTTATTGAAATAAACTCAAGCAGACAGTGAAAGTGTTTGTGCAAATTGGGCAATGATGAACAAAATGAACGGTGTTAGTCATTTTTATTCAAACATGATAGTTTTTCCATGTTTTTTTTATTTTAATCAGGTTGGAAGTTGTGTTCAACCAATCTTTTTACTAAACCGACCTAATTTTCCCAATCTATATTTTTACTCGGGCAAAACAATGCAGTTTAGTGTCATCAGCCAAAATAATTAAGTTTAAAGGAATAGTACACCCAAAACATGATTAGCCTTCATTTTCTACTCACCCCCATGCTGAACAAAACTCTGCAGTACTTTTTTGATATCTCAAATGCATCTGGAGATCTGGGAGGCTTCTTGCTGTCTGCTGACATTCAAATAATGGAGGTCTATGGTGCCCGAGACAGAAAGGTCCATAAAAGTCCACAAAAACGTGTCAATATTCCTCCATACTGCTCGTCCAATGTAATCCAAGTGTCCTGAGTGGGTAGCATCCAGAATTTACTCGAAACGAAGTCATTTAGAACGTTTTAGAGCCTAAACAGTAGTGTATAGGATTTCCTAATAGCGCCCCCATGCGCGCTCACGATTCTACGGAAGCCGGCAGACCAAACCGGAAGAAAGTGCGCATTCAGCGTCTGCTCTGCCGATAATGCAAGCGTAGAAGAAGAAATGTGCTGTTTACCTGTGCAAAGAAAGAAACAACGAAAGAAAAATGTCTGAGGACTTCAGTGTTGAGGAAGAGCAGGAGTTCTTTGCCGAGCTGAATGCGCTGGTTTGGTCTGCCGGCTTCCGTAGAATCGTGAGCGCGCATGGGGGCGCTATTAGGAAATCCTATACACTACTGTTTAGGCTCTAAAAACATTCTAAATCACTTCGTTTAGAGTAAATTCTGGATGCTACCCACTCAGGACACTTGGAATACATTGGACGAGCAGTATGGAGGAATATTGACACGTTTTTGTGGACTTTTATGGACCTTTCTGTCTCGGGCGCCATAGACCTCCATTATTTGAATGTCAGCAGACAGCAAGAAGCCTCCCAGATCTCCAGATGCATTTGAGATATCAAAAAAGTACTCCAGAGTTTTGTTCAGCATGGGGGTGAGTAGAAAATGAAGGCTAATCATGTTTTGGGTGTACTATTCCTTTAATCGCAACTTTCAAAAGAGAGAGACAGGTCTTGAACCATCAACCTCTAGGGTGAGAGTCTGTCCCTTACAGAGGACGCCTCTCATGTAGATGGTGTGTGGTGGGAGAAAATACTTATTAAAACTGACATATTAACACTGGCTTTGTCTGGTGGTTTGCTCAGATTTTGATCATTACATTGTTTATTCAAACCAAATTAGCTTTAAGCAACTAGATTGGTTGGAAAAACAACCAATTTATTCTTAGAATCTATCCAAACTTTTTCCAGCTGACAGCAGCTCTCCTCCAATCTCCCACATCTTGACTGAACACTGAGACTGTTTAGATGCCTGTCAAAATTCTTGCGCTTCCCGAACCACTTACCGAAGCGGCCACATGGTATCACGGTAGCGAGGCCTCGGACGTCATCAATTTTGGCCCCTCCTCTAAATGAATCACGCCTCGACACGCGCATCGGGGAAACGCCCCCTCCCATTACTCGACACACGCCTCGAAGCCTCGGCTCATCTCATAACATCACTAGTATTTACCCTTAATTTTAGTAGGTAAATAAGACGATTTGCCAATGGAATCAGTATTTTTACTCCTAAAATAAGACAATTAGAAAAAATTCACTTGAAATAAGACAAAGATTTTTTTTTTCTTATTTTAAATGTAAATTGTCTTGCTCCATTGGCAAGGTGTCTTACTTATCTCCTCAATTCAAGACAAAATTCACTCAATTTAAGCAAAAATAACTCATACAGATTTCCATTTTTTGCAGTGCGTTTCCCAGTTTAAGTCTTTCACTTCCAGATATTTTTCTGCAGCTCTCACTATTATTTTGATTTTTTTGGTTTTTCTTGTCGTCTGTGCAGCACAATTGATGACTTCAACCATGAATAGAACAAAATCTTTCTTTTTAACAATTACTGAATTCTCTTCAATTATGGAACATTTCTCCAGAGGTTTGGAATTTGCCATGTGTTGAACTGTTGGTTTGGTTTTTCTAACTGAGATGGGATCCTTTTTGCAGCTTCAGCTTAAGTTGTTCCAACCTCAAATTTAATTTTTTTTATTTCCTCAGACCTTTTGCTCACTTCACAGCCGCGATATGCAGCAGTTTATTCTCCACCACAGTTACAGCATTTGATTTGAGCTTCTTTCCCACATTTTCTGTATTCATGTTCTCCTGCACACCCTCCACATCTCTGTTTCCCTTTACAAACTCCTGCTATGTGTCAGAATTTTTGGAAATTGAAACATCTGAAAGGTGGAGGATTGTACATTTTGACATTATAGCTGATGTAACCAATGATACTTTTCTGGGTAATTGATCTTCCTCAAATTTAATTAACGCCGATAAACTATCAGATTTTTCTCTGTTTCTTATTTTTAACCGTTTTACTTCTTTTACTTTTGCACCGCTTATGTTTTCTAGAATCTCTTTTTCAGACACTCTTAGAGGAACTCCTCCAATGACTCCCCTGCTGATCGTTTTGTTCTCCACTAAGCTGCACGGAACTCTTACCCCGTCAATTTTGTCTATCCGCATTGCTTTGCCTTGCTGGGCGCTGTCTCTGCAGTTGATTAAGTCTCCACTGTACAGGATTCTGGCACCTCTGACTTCTCCAACAAGTTTATTTATGGATTTTGTTAAGTGAACCAGATTCCAATTTGTAAAAGAGTCTGCCTGATTAACGAGTTTGAATATGACTTTGTAATCATTTTGTTTTGCTGTGGAATGTATTGATTGATCATCACTTGAATGTTCTGAACTGGACTCCCCCTCAACTGATCTTTCCGCTTTTTCTCCTTTTTTGAGGCTACCCTCTTCCAATCTTCTTCATTATCACTATTTCCCTCTTCCATCCCACAAGAATCGCTTCCTGTTTCCTAACTACTCACGGCCCAGGACATTTCTCCACAAGCGACTTCGAAACACGCGCCATGCACATACGCCACCCGGCACTTTTGATGTGCATTACTGTAATCTTCTGAAATAGAGTTTGGGACGGGAAGGCCCCAGTAGTTCTCTCTAAATTCTGTTGAATAATCCAGAGGATCTTAAAAATATAAATAAGGCCTTTAATAACAAAGTCTGGTCCAGTCCGTGCTAATGTTTATTTGATTAGATATAAATGTTTCTCTTTAAATAATCTCCTCTGGTTTTCATACTTAATACAATGAATAATGAAATGTTCTACAGTTTCTGCTTCTCCACCCGCAGCTACAATTTCCCATTTCATGTTTTACCAAAAGTATAAAGTAATAAGTACTGGGACATAATATAATGTGTTGGGGGAGTGTGATGTGCTCTGAGAAGGTTGCGCTTACCCAATGTTCTGTCAGCTGAGCATAACCAGAGTCAATACACATGCACATGATGTCAGATATGGGTTTATGCCTTTAGTTTTGTACAGAAAAAAATAAATAAAAAATTAAGGTGAGATCGCCATATGCTTAAAAAAACAAACAAAAAGTAGGTAATTAAATGTTTTTTTGTACATGACCAAAGGGATACTCGCCCGTTCAGGTAGTTGAAAGTTTATTTTTCATACAGAACTAAAGGGATAAAGGTATTGACTATGGATATGCTGGTCTGCCCGGGTATGCTCATCTCACAGCACACCGGTTTGATCACCACTGGTAGGGTCAATAATCATAACCACTTATTATCCTGGAAATGAAAACCAAACAAACCAATTATTATTTTCTGCAGAAAAATGAGAGAGAGGACAGACCAAGGGTGAGACCCCTTGAAAAGTCTATACTTAACTCTGCCCAAACCTCTCTTTTCTGCTGATTTTATTATTGGACTTCAAAGGAATTACAGGAGTGGTCAAAAGTTACCAGGAGGGGTCTGATGTTATCAGGAGGGGTCAGAAGTTATCAGTCACCTACGGCTGCATTAACATTCCTGGAGCAGATACCTGTAACTTGAAATAAAATGATAACATATACATTGTTTATCATTTTATTCACATTTGAAGCTTAACTTTAGGCTACTTCAACTACTCATTACTTGCATACTGCATTTTCAAAGAGACTATAATTTTGTTAAGCATTTATCAAGAGAAACCTCAACTACAGGTTGTACTTCTTGAGGAATTTGTGAATTTGATATTGAAACATTACATTTCACATAGTTTTAGCAACCATAGATTTTAGGCAAGGGATTACACAGGCAGTAAAAGACAAAAAAGGATAAGATTAACAATAAACGATGTCATTATTTTCAGGTAGAGTTGCCACCACAATCCTGACATGAACCAGGAGAGGAAATCCAAATCTAGAGGAATTCAAACATTTAAGATTATGGTTAGATAGTTCATATACATGGAAAATGAATGTTAAGCAGTTAGAAACAAAAGGTAAGAAAATAATAAACCTCATGAAAGCCGTGGATGGGAATGACTGGGGGGCTGATAAGCAGTCATTATTGAATAACTACAGGGCACTTTGGAGATCAGCAATAGATTATGGATGTATGGTATATGGAGCAGCAGTAAAATTATTGTTAATAAATTAGAGATAAATTACAATATAGGGCATTACATACAGCTACTGGAGCAACTAAAACTACCACCATTAATGCTCTTCTATAGAGGCTGGAGAAGCTACTTTAGAAATGAGACGGGTCAAAATATAATTTTCATATTGGATCAGAATTAAAAGCAGTAGTGAAGAAACCAGGCAGCAGCATAATGAAGAACTGTTGGGAATATTCCAAATTTACAAGAAATGGCTTTGGCTGGACTGTGAATGGATGGGCAAAAATATATGAGTTGGATGAAAAGATATTTGCTAAAAATAACCCCATCAGTGCTGTATCACCATGGTTGTACAGCACTGCAGAAACAAAAGTTAATTTGAAAATACATGAAATGAAAAAAGAATGGAAACATAATGAAGTTGGGGTTAAAACTAGCATATATATTAGACAATTGTATTATAGTTTTTTAAAAATGTACAAAGATGGTTCAAAAAATACAAAGGGAAATGTGGGAATAGGGATACTCATTCCAGAGTTTAATGTATGTATACGTAAAAGATTAGCTGAACTTTTATCGATATAGACAGCATAAATGGTAGCAATTATTATTAGTTTCCAGTTGGTGGAGGAGGTTAGACCGGACAGGGTGGTGATTTGCACAAATTCTAAAGGTGCAATAGAAAACATTCATTCAGGAGGAAATAATAGGAAAGACCTCGTACTAGAAATTCATCAGTTTGTTTAGATTATTTAGGTATGGAATAGATTTCAGTTCTGTTGGGTTCCAGAACACGAAGGGGCAAGATAGCAGATAAGTTAGCTAAAAAAGCTTTAGGAAAGCAGAATATAGATCAGATCCCGTTTGGGAAAGGGGAAGGTAAATCAATCATTAAAAAGAAAGAAAAAGAATTTTGGCAAACGATTTGGGATGAAGATAAAAAAGGGAGAAGATTATATAGGGTTCAAAAATTTGCAGTTGTTAAAAATTATGGAGAAAGAAACAGAAGGGAAGATATAATAACTGGTCATACCTACTTGAATGAGTTTTTGTTTGTACTAGGGAAGAGAAATAATGATTTATGTGAGGGATGTCAAAGAAAAGAAAGTGTGGATCAAGTTTTGATGGATTGCATTAAATATGCACCTGAAAGAGAGAGGATGAGGAAAGTAATAAGGGAAAAACGGAGAAATTGGAATATTAAAGGAATTTTAGGGACAGATGGAGATAGGGAAGAAAATGTGGTTATTCATAAAGCATTGTTTTTATTTTTACATAACACAAAACTAAAAAATTTGAATATAATAGGTGGAACTATAGAGCTACACACTCCTGTACAGTAGGTGGCGGTATGCACCTATAAGCTGTTTGCAATCCGCTATTCAACATAGAAGAAGAAGAACAAAGTAGGCGAAGAAGAAAAGACACTCGTCACATGGGAGTTAAAAAGTCTTAAGGTATGATTGTTTGACCTATTTGTCATGTTCAGAAATGCTTAAAGCCTTATTTCGACTGTAAGTGAAATTTATCTTGTTTTTAATATAAAAGGCTTTTTTTTGTGACGGCTTTTCTAACAGCTGCTCGGCTGTCATGCTAACAACAGCTGGTGCTAACACAGGAGACTGGGTTTCCTTCTTTACGGTTATTATATTAAGGTTTATAAGTTAATGTTTTTCTCTCCCTCACCTTATATGATTAACAAGGAAATGACGCAATGATAGCAAATGTTGCACGAGCTTGGATTCAAACGAGAATAAACCTTTCTTAAGAAATTTAACAAAACTAGGGTGACCAGATTTGGGTTTCTAAAAAAGACACTTTGTTGACTCGGTGATATTTATCTTTCTAGATGTTAGAGAGATGCCTTTTAGTGCATTACAAATATAGGACCCTAAAACATCAATTCATGAAAAAAATGATTAATAATTTATCATTTATCCCTAGAAGCACAATTTCAATTCCATCCAGAATAAATGGATATGCTGCATTTTAAATATAGTATAGCATATTTTCTTCTTGTAAACTTTCTGGTAACGTTCTCCAGTTTGAGATCAATAAAGTTCAATTATAATTAATTGAACTGATGCATCAGGAAGTCATTGCTTAATCACTTAATTTTAATATTTCTCTGCAGGTTGAGCTGTTCCTCTGAAGCCATGACAAGGTGGGCGAGAGCCAATAATGTGCACAGACACAAACCGGCCGAGGCAACTCCCTGGAACCAGCTGAGAGCAGCTGGCAGGAGAGGAGCAGGACAGGATGGAGGTCACTCTGTGGAGGCTTCTCGACGAGGTCAGACAGACCCTCTGAGAAAGACCTTCAATACCGCCGGGAAGACGGCCAACCACAGAAAGAAAGAGTACCTCAACGAGGATGTAAACGGATTCCTGGAGTACCTAAACCAGGGCGGACACGGCCTGCCTGTTGGGAAGGAAGGAGAGAAAGAGACGGAGCAGGAGTTGAAGGAGAAGGTGGAGGTGGCCTTGAAGAAGGACCAGAGGAGGGAGGACAGAAGGGTTAAGAGGCAGAAGGACAAGAAGAATAAGATGGTACAAATTTTTTTCTACTGATGTTTTCCTGCAAACACGGAAAAACACCATGAAAGCCATTAGAAACTCTGGATGAAGCTGCAGACTTTATAGATCCACATCTTGACTAGAACTCGGACTGAATAAGTTGAAACATATTTGTTCCACAAAGGTGTTAGTGAGCAGTGTGCTAGTCAGAAATGTGATTTTGGTACAATGCCAAAAGTGCAAAAATGCATTTTTCCCCTCGTATACCCCATTTACACTACCCTTGAAAAACCGTGCCGAGTCCGGTCCGAGCTCAGTAACTGAGATAACTTATGGTGTGTAAATGGAAACTGAACTGAACCGAGCTAGACACAACCGGACCGCGCTAACTGCAGACCAGTTCCAGAGGTGGGCTCGGCTCGGTTCTCCGTTAACAAGAGCGCATGAGCAGAACACGTCATTTCCGTCTGGCTGCACATCCCGATTCACACTCCATTCCAGTAGTTGGCGGTAATGCCCCTCCGGAAACAGAGGAAGAAGAGCAACTTCTTCTTCAACTATAAACAACAATCGAAATCTTCTCCACACATCATTTTAAATAATAACACCGAAGTACAGCAATAACAATCAAGCATACCTTTCGGAATGTGACCAGCGCCGCCATTTTGATTTGCTTGATTCCCTCCTTCTTCGTCTTTTGGTGCACTACCACCACCTACTGCTAGATTTCCTCCTTCAATACAGGCAGTAATACCGCAGATCGTCACTAGGAGTCGAGGAACCGAGATAGCGTGATGTGTAAACGGTCGTCAGAACCGAGCTCAGCCTGGTTAACTGATCTGAGCTCAGACCGGTCTCGGCATGGATCGGTTTGATGAGACAAATATGCTAATTTCCATTATTGGAGACCTTCTGCATAAGAAAAAGCCTTTGCTCCTATGATTTGGCCGTTGTTTCATTGAAATTTACCAATAATAGAAAATCAGAATAACTCAGTAAGCTTTTGTAAGGCGTGCCGGTTCCATCACATGATCTTTCCCTCTTGGAAAGATCTGAGCCTCTAGTTTTCAATGATGGAGGCCATTTGGGGGGCGGGGCTAAAAATGAATACCTGCTGTTGCATTGCACACATGTCAGGTGGAATTTTAAATCTCATTTTATTTGTTTACGCAATAAAACAAAAAGTACTTTTGAAAAAATAATTTTGAAACATGTTTTAGAAATTTTAAATCCCAATTTAAAGGCATGTGGATGAAACACCATGTGACTGAGTTTTGGCCATTTCTATAAATAGATAAACATGAGCAGTTGCCCGCCGGGCTTAAGGGGTCGACTAATAATGGAAAACCTCAACGTATTTGGTCTGGTTTTATTAATAATGTAACAGAGAACCGAGGCTCTTTCCTGCAATTTTCTTAGTTTAAAAGATTCAGCAAAGGATTATTTGTTATGGTTGGTGAGATGAGACTGATTAAAATGTGTTTTTAGCTTCTCCTGGCTCACTAAAACTACAGAAAGCATCCAAGGAACCGTAATAAAGACTGAAGCTCATTGGCTGACCGAGGTAAAGGTCTCTTCCTCTCTTTCCTCAGGTGTGCTTTAACTGCAGGAAGCCCGGTCACGGTTTGGCCGATTGTCCTGAAGCCGACAGAGACGAAGAGATGGGCAGAGGGATCTGCTTCCGCTGCGGTTCCACTGAACATGAGATCCAGAGGTGTAGAGCTAAAGTGGACCCAGCTCTGGGTGAGACCCTCAGCTGGATCAACCCTGCCTCTACATCTGAATGGGAGTCTGTTCTAACCGGGCTCTCTCCCTCAGGCGAATATCCGTATGCTAAGTGCTTCATCTGTGGTCAGACTGGACACCTGTCACGCTCCTGCCCCGACAATCCCAAAGGACTGTATGCACAAGGTAAACACTCACTCAGGCATGTGTTTCTGCTAGGCCTGAAGCATTCAGTTTTATTAATCGATTATTGCAATTTAGTAATTGATTCATTGTTAACTGGAACATAGAGAATCTATAACGTGCCGTCAGCTGACAGAGCAACCCACTAAGGCTACGTTCAAACTGCAGGCCTTGATGCTCAATTCCGTTTTTTTTTTTTTGTGAAATCCGATTTTTTTTTTGCGTTGCCGTTCACATTTCCAAATATATGCGACTTGTACGCGATCTTCTGTGTAAATGACCTTCATACAGCTTAACTGTATAGGTAGAGGACGTAGATGACATCACAAGCCAGCGTGCTTCGTGTTTACGGAAGTATAAATGGATGTAGTGCTGGAGAACATCAATCTGGTAAAAAAAAATACTATTCTTCGCATCATCGTCCCCCATGGTGTTTATTTTGCTTGGCGCTTCTGTGTAGCAAGAAGCAGAATAGTGACCTTTGTCGGGTATTAATGACATTCAGGTCAGATGAATATGACCTGGCTGCTCAGACAGAAGTTCGCATTTGTAAAGATCAGATTCGTATCGGATTCAGGACTACAGAACCGAGTGGCCTGGGCCGCATTGGAAAAAATCGGCTCTGTGTTGTTCAGACTGTCATGAAAAGATCAGATACAGGTCCCATATGGGCAAAAAAAAAAAACAGATTTGGTGTAACTTCAGACTGCGGTGTGAACGTAGCCTTAGAGCAGGACTTATACCAAGATTGTAAAAAACACACAATCATTTGACATTTAAGATAAATCCCAAAGATGTAATCTGTCAGTACTCCTTATCCACAACTCCTCTAATGGAAAATTTAAAAAAATTATTAATTGATTAACCAAAAACATAATCTACAGATTAATCAATTTGTAAAATAATCGTTAGTTGCATCTAGTGATGGTTAATGAGGCATCTTGAAGCGTTTTGTCAAACTGTATTGATGCTGCATTGATACTGACTCGCAGAATACTGACACCTGCTGGACTTTTGAAGACACTACAGGCAGCTTATTGGACAGATTCACTTAATTAATTTGATGACCTAGTACAATGACATCATTTACGTTATTATAGGTTATATGGCATTATTTCATATCTATGTTTAAATTGAAAATATTTTTTCATAATTTTAGATGCAGCCAATAAATGTAAACGTATATGATAACGTGAAAATTTAGGGGAAAATGTGAATGAGGATACTTGTGGACTTGTGATGCTTGTGGATTTTAAATCGTATTTCTAAAACAATAATTACAGTAAAAACAGTAAATAAACTAAAAATCTTTTTGAAATTAACTTTAAAGCTACAGTGTGTAATTTTCAGCGACATCTAGCGGTCAGACTGCAGACTGCAGCAACATGAACATCCCCCCCCCCACCGCTTCTCCCCCCCAATAGTACAGCGAGCGTTACGGGACAAAATTTCTTCTACGACGTCCACATCACCTACCCTCTCAAGTGATGAGGTTTGTTTACATAGATAATTTTACAGATAGTATTTCATTAGTCTGTGTAGGGTATAGATTTCATGTAGACTTAAGATAATAAATATACCCGTTATTTTTTCTACATCGTTGTGACGTCTTGGTGAGCTGCTTTGCATGGTGATATAAACAGACGAAGTAATTGTAGTCATTAGTTTAACAGCGAGATTGTGTTCGCTGGAAGAATATATATTCCCCGTTTACAGAGTCCAAGTCTTGTTTGTGGCACGGGGGTTACAACGCAAGGAAGAGGGAAAGGAAGAGGGCAGAGAGGCCGGGGTGAGCGTGCAGCTGGGGCCAGGCGAGAGAGGGGAGCCAGCGGGGTGAGAGCAGAGGAGGAAAGGCTTGAAGATCTCCAAAGGAGCCGGAGAGAAGTAACCGAGGTATATATCCAGAAAATTATTTTACAGAAAATTACTGAATCATTACCTATGAAACGTCAGGGACGTTGCTGAATAAGTATACTGGAGAGTAACAGCATCATCACGCAGCGTGTTATTGTTTTAGACAGGTCTGAGCATCCTGTACTCCAAAAACTGCAGTGATATTAGACAATTGTGTGTGTAGGATTAATTACCTGTCCAAGAGAAAACTGGCAACTTGAGCGTCACTTTGAAAACCTTTTTCCTCCATCAGTGACTTCCATCGTGTAAATGCCGTGCCAATGTTGATCCGTGTTTTTTGCCGTTTCTTGTCACGCTTGCGTTTATTCTCGTCGTGTTTCCGCTTCTTAGATGACGGGGGTTCGGTGTCCGCCGCTTTTCGTTGTGATACAGAGTAGGCATGATCCTCCATTCGTCTGATGTTTGGCCACACAGTGCCAAACAGTTTGCAAAGTCACTCACGCCTGCCGCCTTGTTCACCTTTCTTGTTACTGAGGCGCAGTATACCTGCTTCTTCTTCTTCTTTGGTTTCAGGCAGACTAAACGCTTCTCAGGCATAATACTGCCATCTACTGTTCAGTACCGTCTCAGTTAATCTCTCTCAACTTGCCGTAGTTATTTTTGAGCGTCATGGGAGATCTCGCAATCGCTAGTTTGTTGCCTCTGCGCTTGCCGTAGCGCAAAGATGTCAGCCTCCATGGCTGCGAGACCCGCTCCTATGTAATTATAAATAACGAATTCTAAGGCAACGCAAATATTATGGTTAAAAGGCTGAGCTCATAGGTGATGATAAATAACATAGTTATGTATAATATATTAAATTTCTGACTTTATATGCCTGTAATTATTACACACTGTAGCTTTAATTCAGATAAGTTGAGTGATAACTGACAGGAACAGGACGACACAACGAGAAAATAAAAATAAAAACAGCTGAAACGTTCCTATTCCTTTTAGGCTCCAAAATTCTTGAACATTTCAATGATAATCTGCAAAAGATGATTTTTTAGCAGATGATGCATGTTGAGAGATACATTTCAGGGGTTGACGTTAAGATCTTTACCACTTGCCCTTTGGGCAAGTGACTTTCACATTTCATTTGCCCAGAAACAATTTTTACTTGCCCAGTATAATGTTTGATAAATATAGTTCCTAATATTCATTTTTGTATATATATCAATGAAACATGTTTGTTTTTTAAATGTTTTGTAATTCAGTATTTTTTAAGTTTCCAGGTTCCTGGTGTGTATCTGCATGCGTCAGATAATGAACTCAAGCCTACATTACCGTGTTAACATGCTTTTCAATCCTTCCTGCACATTCTTTTCAAACTAAACTTTGCTTTAAACTGTTGTGTGCTTGGAAAAATATAAATTGTAATGTTAAAAATCTAAAAAAAAAACTTGACAGGTTAAAAACTTAAGATAAATCACAGACAGAAGTCAGTGTCACAAATGAATAACTTTTATTTTAGAGTCACGGTATGTTTATACAAGATAATACTATTAATATAATGTGACTTTTCTAGAGAATCATTATTCATAGTTATTTTATTCAGGGTTTCCACGGTCTTACATCATTTCAGAATTCCCTGACTTTTAACTGACTCAGGATTAGTTTTCCCTGACAAAATAAATGCAGCAACAAGACAATAATAACATAACAGGTCACCAATCTAACATGTTTAGCTCTATAACATTTAAATGCACCTCTCCAATGTCTGAGAGAAAAAAATTTAATGAAAATTTTTTAATGTATGACCTGCATCACTGAACAGAAGACTGCCATATGATAGCGCTTTCTAGCTTGTTTGTCGTTTTGGTAACTACATCGAAATTACCGCTAGGTGGACAAAAGTCCCGCCATCTGGCGGAAAATCACGCGGCTTTTTCAAATCACGGCAAACAAAAATGGCGCCGGCAACGCTTCTGGGTTGTTTTCATCAAATGTCGTGATTTTAAAGTAAGTTTGAGTGATAAATAAAAAAAATTTTGCGATCATTGCCCGGCGGGCAAATGCAATGAAATTTGTACTCTCCCAAGAATAAAAACTACTTGCCCCGGGAGATCGGCCGATGGTTAACATCGAGCCCTGCATTTTCAAACACAGTTTAGTGTTAGAAACATCTCCTGTATTGGTCACGTGACTTTCTGGAAACGACACACACACTGATACATGATCACTAGTAAATGGCATTTCATTATACAGCGCCTACTGCTACGCTGTGGCAACCATTGCCTCACTGGATCCCAGCACGCGGTGCGACATGACTGCAGTATATTTATATTAGTAAGGCTGAAACAATCAATCGGATTAATCATGATTGATTATTGAAATAATTATCAACTAATTTAGTAATCGATTACTTGTTAACTGGAGTTAACTGGCTCCGCATATCCATCTGGAAACCTTCCGTCGAAGTGATTTTGGGAAGGGGCGAAAATACTGGTTAGCTGATTGGCCTATGTTGGTGATAGACGGGCCGAATAAACCAATCAGATCAACGAAGCATATGACGTAACAGAGCGACGACGAAGAGGAGCCAATTGACAGATCAAACTATCAAAGAGAAGAGCAAAAACATCTTTTCCTCTGAGAAAAGCCTCCAGAGCAGTGTTTTGCTCTTCTTTCAGTGAAGAAATACTCTGTAATTCCGATAAAACTTGCTCGATAGCCACGCTAACGCTAGTTTCATCGGCTGAAGCCGCCATGTTCTTTAGACTGAACTGTCGCGCTTCTCGTTGCGTCACACCTCAACCCGCCTCAAAGCCAACGCTGATTGGACGTTCGTTTGGTGAACGGCTCCAAATTTTCTTCAACGGAGAGTCTCCAGACTGATTAGCGAGTGAAATCTTGAAAGCTCGCGAGATCAGGAAGGTCTCACGAGGCTAACCCGATTATAGCAGCAGTTATACCATTTAAGATTTAAATCTTTTATGTCTCACAATCTGCTCAATCCAGAACCGCTCAAGTGGAAAAGTTTTAGTTTGCACTGCTTTAATTTCATAAAAAGTCCCATTATTAATTGAAAAAATAATTGACAGATTAATTGATTTGCAAAATAATCATTAGTTGCAGCGCTACTTCATAGTATAAAAACCTCCCTGAAAAATGCCTTCATGCTGTTTTCTAATGTGTGCTTTCAGGCGGCTGCTGCCGTGTCTGCGGGTCGGTGGAGCATTTCCAGAAGGACTGTCCGGAGCACCAAGCAGCAAGTGAGTTCACTTTAAGTCGCTGTTTCACATCTATCTGAGGCAGCAGCTGTTTCTCCCTGTAATGTTTTCAGATATTTATATTCTTATTTTCCACAATTTCTTATTGTAACACAGATGAGCTGATAAGCATTTCTAAAAACTAGGTTATTGATTGTTTTTTGCAAAGAGTCTGTATTTATTGTGCAGATCCTAAACCTTCTGCTGGATGCTAGCCTCTGGTCCAAACTATCAGCCGTTCTTGTTATGCTAGTGCTTAGAGCTTGTCAGGGTTTATTAACTGGTCCCATAAACACAGAGAATCCTAAGACTAAAGGTAACTTCTAGAGGCGCCATCTTAAGAAAAATTGAAGTCTCAAAGATTTAGTGGAATTTGCCCCTAAAAGATCAGTTATTCACAAAGCATCTTAAAAGGGCTCCTAAGGCGAGACATGCCTAGCCGTGAGACTCACTCAATGATATTTTTGATTCATGCCCAATATTGAAGCGTGGTTTCTATGTTATTCAACGCCACAACTCAAGAGGGCCAATCAGGAAGTAGCTGTGGGTCTAGATACGGCCAAGGCGGTGAGGAACTGGGGGCAAGTTTGTGCGACAACGGAGGGACATGAGGGCCAAAAAGAGTGGGGATCCAGGAGGAAAAAGGGTCCCAGCGTTCTCATGCACCTCACTCTTCTAGCTGCTCCAAATTCACCAGTCATTTTCCACAATGGTGGCCATCCAAACAAAACAAGCCGGTACGGAACCAAATAGGAAATACACATATTGTAGAGCAGATGTCTACAGCAGTGTTTTTCAACCCTGGTCCTGAAGGCACCCTGCTCTGCATGTTTTGGATGTTTCTGAGCTTCAGCACACCTGATTCAGATGATTGCTGTTCAGCAAAGCCTGATAATCTGCTATCAATTGATAACAGGTGTGTGAAAGCTGGGAAACATCTAAAACATGCAGGGCAGGGTGCCTTGAGGACCAGGATTAATAAAACACTGGTCTACAGCACTGTCTGAGGTCACCTACAACTTTGGAGAGGTGCGGCAGAGTGTTTGTGGAAGGGGGAGGGGCATATCTGCATTCACTGCGACACACACAGACGACCTGGTTTCTGAGTATAAATCAGCCCTAATTCTTCGTGCCTGACTTCCTGTCTGGCTCCTTTGTTGACATAAATCAATATCTCCAATAGGACACTGAACAATCACAGCCTTCAAAGTAAAAAAAACATTCAATAAAGACAATTTACTGCCATAAAAACCTCTAGATTCATGTTTTTATGATTATATTCATATGTGTATATTAAAATTTTTCTTCCTGTTTATGGCTAGTGACGTTAGCTTAGCATCTTTAGGCTACTAGTTGTTGTCTCTGAGTTAGAAACAGTTAAGTCGATAAAGTGGGTCATGAGTCTGTTCTGACAGCAGTAGCTCTATGCTCTAAAGCCGGGCGTACACTGTAAGTTTTTTTTTCCCTTTTCTGGACGATTCTCCAGTTGTGCAGGAATTTTTCGATTGGGCCGACTATCAGTGTGATTGTGTGTTGTGTAGTGTACAGGGGGTAACGAGGGGCAACTAACCACCAACTCCCCATCAGGAATTATAAGGTTGGGAGAAAATCAAGCATGTTTGAATTTCAGTCGATCCTCATTCGAGGTGGTTGGTGGCAAATCGCTCAGTGGGCAACAAGGATTCTTCCTCAGACATAAAATTGACAGACCGTAGTAGCCATGTTTGCTCAGCCATGTCTTTGTCCAAATACATCGTCTCCTTTTCTTTTTAGGGCTTACAGCACCAAATTGCACAAATTGCCAAGGCGGCTCGTTTCAATCTAGTGAGCTTCATATTCCTCTTCTACTGGTTTGGCTTCCAGATAGACTGCTGCTCGCTCGCCATGTTTTCCCACGGTTACACATTTTCCTAGGTGCTCCGTAAGGAAATTCTGTCTGGAAATCCTTATCTGTGCAGATTTTTTTTAATTTCTGTTTCTGCTTCCCCATGAATTCAAACATTTGACTGGTTCATATTAATAAAGTAAAATGAAGACATTTTAAAAGAACAAATAAAGCCTGTGCAGCAGAACAGACAGGATTCTAAATGAATTATGTTTAAAGGGAAACGCTGTGGGGGGGGGTTTATGGGTGCTGGTGAGACAGTGAAGAGGTGATTCACAGAGCCGTCTGTCAAGTTGGTTAAAGTGTTTTACATAAAGAAGGGGGAGTGATAAGTTGGGATTTCTTGCTTTAGACCTCGTCGTTTTACTTTTTAGAAGGTCGATGAGAATCACTGTTTTACTTTATCTGTTTTATGGCCTCCTTATCCCCTATTATAAATAAGCTATTCTGTTCTTGAAATGTTTAAAATAGACGTAGGGTCTCTCTGTCGGAGCTACAGGAGCGATCTTGCATAGAATTGTGTCTGGTTTGTCCATCTCCATTGACTTTAAATGACAGCTAAGCACCATTGTTTGACATGATTTTCTATCCGATCGGACAAAAAATCGTATTCGGTCTGTTCAGGGCTTCAGGTTGTTTACACCCTCAAAGTGGCAACAGTTGATGAATGCACAGAAACAGTTCCACACAGGTGTACGTGAAGATCTACAGCTGCATGAAAAAGCGAGCCAAAGGAGCATGCACCCCTGGCCTCGTGGTATTTAGGGCTGGGTACCGAACTTCGGTTCTTTTATGGCACCGACCGAAATGCTTCAGTTCTACAGAGTATCGAAACATGCCTCGTCTTTCGGTACCAAGTTTCGGTGATTGGCTGTAACACTTAACGTGATTGCGTCATCCAGGAAAAATACACCGGTGGTCCCGCCTACAGCCAGGGTTCATGTGTATCTGTTGTGAACTGGTTGCGAGCGTCATAGAACCCCTTTAAAATGCCCCCCAGGTCAAAAGTGCGGCTTCGTTTTATTAAGACTGATGCTAATAGTGCGCAATGCAATACATCGTGCACGGAGACAATTTAAGAGCAGAAAGTTGCTCGGTGTTTGACTGCAAGAAGAGCAGACCGCCGCCGGCGCGACCATCCTCCTCTCAGCAGCCCGTGGGCGGAGCAAAGCCAGAGCGGAGTGAATCATGCTGCTTTCAAACTGGACGCAGCAGGAGCAGCAAAATCACGTCTGCTGCTTCCTTTATGCTGCTTGTACCAGCTTCTGACGCGCGGCTGAAGCAGCTTTGCCGCTCTGGCTGCGCGGTCGAAAAGTGTGTCTGACGCGCGTTGGGCGGAGCTACTCTATCCTTTCTCTGCCTTGCAGCTATATTTGCTGTGATCAGTGGGAATAAAGTAGTTTTATTATGTTTTTAAGTGGAAAATCCACCTGAAAACTTAATCAGTGCAGTCAGCTCATCCAGATTACCATCCTGCCTTCCAATATTTCTGTCGGAGCCGCTCAGACCCCCCCATACCAGCGGTGCGCTGTCAGTAGGATCCCATTCAACGGGCTTGTTTGTCAGACATGGTCATTTTTCTAAAGGAAAACTGCTAAGTTAAAAGGTCCTCAAAATGTAACAGTGAATATTAGACACTGATTTTTTTTTTTATGTAAGAGGAAAAATGTAAATGGAAAAATCAGAGCTTAAAATAAAACTCAAGATTTGTACTTTTTTATGTTGTGTAATTTTCTTTTTCTTCGAATTGATATTATAAAACTGGTATCGAAAAAAGTATCGTTCAGGAACCGGTATCGAAGTGAAGGTATCGGTATTGGTACCGGAACCGAAAATCTTTGAACAATACCCAGCCCTAGTGGTATTAGATCTGCACGCAGAAAACATTTCAAACGCACATGGAGAATAGTTTACATGCATGTGTTTTAAAGAAAATTTCTTGGATTAGTTTTTATTACGCTTGTGCCCTTTTGGCAGAATTCTGGTTGTCTTTCTTTCCGCTTCATCTTAGCAGGATGCAGAATAGTGACCTTTGTCGAATCTTAACAACGTACAGGTCGGAATAAATGCGACCTGGCCATTCAGACACGGGTCGCGTTTGAAAAGATCAGATCTTGGTCACATATGGAAAAAAGAAAATTAGATTCGGGTCACTTCAGGCTACATTGTGAATGTTGCCTTAAAGTCCTCCTCACTGCAACTTTCTTATCCCAATTAGGGCTGCAACTAACGATTATTTTGAAAATCGATGAATCGGCCGATTATTTTTTCGATTAATCGATGAATCGGACACAAAATATTTTTTTTATATTAACCTCTTTATTCCAAAATAAACATTTTAGACAGAACAAACAAGCACACAAGTACAGGTTTCTCATTAACTGTACTGGTGCAATATGAAAAATAAATGTTTGTGTTAAAACTATGCAAACTTACATGAGAAATGTAGCTGTACATCCACAAAATATAGGCTACTTTGTTTCATAAAGCGCAAAAAGAGACAGGCATTTTTGTTTTTTAAAGCCCCTAAGGGGTTCAAACAAACCCCCCCCCCCATTTCAACAAATGAGGTTTTTTTAGACTAGAAGAGTTCTGCCTTTTAAGACAGGAAAGTATAGCAGTTAAAGTTGCTACTTGAGAAAATCCTGAACCCTAGAGATAAAAATAGCCCTGTGATTCAAATTATAAATTGTATTTGGAATAAAAATGAGAGAACTAGGGGTGCTAAAAAACACATCCTCCAAAGACAGATATTTACATGGGAATGTGGCAGATAATTAATTGACATATTACTGATCTTGCTGGATTTTATTCTGCTTTACTTCCATAAATTGCAGGATCTTCTTTACTTTATCTTTGCCAGAAGATTTAAACTTTAAAAGCCTTGCCCTCATAATTTGCAAATTAATTTATTTATAAAGAAAATATAAACGCTGCTTAAGCTAATTCAAATGAAATTAAAAGTAAAATAAGTAGCCAACCTTATCACTGTCTGTAACCTACTAACAAGCTAAGGAAAGCATCAGATGAGCTACCTGAGAAACTAACTTACGTTTCCCCACTTTAAAATGAAACAAACATGGTTACTCATCCTGCTGATCAGCTCTCTTCACTGCCATTGAAGGCTCCAACGTGTTTTCTTTTCAGGTGCTGCGTCATAACAGTGGTGCTTCCGTGCCATGTTTATTTGTTTTTACAAAAGTTGCATGTTATGACTTTTTTCACTTTACAAAGCGCAGGCTATTTTAATTATTGTGATCAATTTGCGCCGTCAATCCCGGTGCATGCGCGCTTCATTTGCAGTCTGGACGCTGAGGGTAAACTCCTCACTAAAATCCTGCAGCGCTGAGAGGGATTCTTGTGGGAAAGGGAGAAAGGCGTTGGGATGGGGGAGGCGCCCCACGGCATCAGCTGCCGCTGGAGGACTAGAGTAGGAACGATACATGCTTTCACGTAAGAGTCTCCAAAAGCCGCCAGTGACATCGTAAAAAGTCGCCAGATTTGTCGCTAGTCGCTTTTTAAAAAAATAGTCGCTGGAGGGGTCTGAAAAGTCGCTGAGTTGGCAACACTGCAACTGCGGCGCTGACTCGCTCCGCCATATTTTTTTTTCTTCCCCGGGATGACGGCGGCGGCGGATGACGCATTAATCGCGCGACACAACTAATCGATGATTAAATTCGTTGCCAACGCTTTTAAAAGTCGATTTTTATCGATTTTATCGATTCGTTGTTGCAGCCCTAATCCCAATCCAGCTTCTTTAGCTGCAGGCTCCTGCATGATGCGTTGATGGACACTGCATGCTTTTCTCAGTGTGTGATGAACTGTGTGATCATCGCTGCCCGATCATGTAACACTAAAACAAACTGCCATGCTATTTAATCTCAGTGCATAAAGGATGAGGTTATGACTGCTGTCAATGGTTACCTGTGTGGGGTTTACTGGCTGAGGCAAAACAATCGGCTCGCATTGTTTCTACAGTTACACTGCAAGGAAGGGAAAACTTCTGCTGTTTTTAATGATTAAATTGGAGTTCAGTAAAAAAGCATAGCATTAAAATCCAGTGGTTGTAATTAGGGACCAATCTGATAGGAAGGAAGTGAGAAACTGCTTGGTTTTAGCTGAAGTAAGTGTCTGGATGTCAGATTTCACATCCATGTTCTAAGAAAACCTTTAAATCCTAGAAATATTTCCATGTGTTTACATTGTGCAAAAAAACGTGCATTTTTTTACTATTTTGTTCTTTAGTTGGAGACATTCTGAAGAATTGGATCTAATCTGAACAATGTGTAAACAAATCTCAGATTTTTATTAGTTTTATGCTGTTAGAATCAGGGATGGGTAAATGGATCACCGTGTCTAATCCCACATGTTTATTTGTTTTTGTCCTTCCAGCTAACTCTGTGACTTTGGGCTGGTTGTCCAATAATAGGAGTGCAGACATGGAGGATATTCACATTCCAGTGAAAAAAGCCAAACCCAGGCAACCCAAAGTGATAACCTTTTGAGGACTCAACATGTAAAGCTGCTCTGCATCCTATTCCTGGACCCGGATCTGTTGGAAATAGTTTATGAAACCTGGATGTGTCTGGATGCTGCAGAACAGAACAGACCACAGGTTCAAACCAGTGAGCAGGTCCTGGATCAGCCGCTGAGCAACATTTCGTGAAAGTTGATTTAAAAATGTCGGACTGGAGCTGCATACAGACGGTGTTACTGAACGTTTGCAGCACATCTATTTTGATTGAAATAAAAAGGCTTCATCTGTACAGATTTAGTATAATTTACAACAAATTTTACAAACCTCTGAACCAATAACCCATCCTAAATAAACTGTAACTTTTACAATGTGCTGTTTGCCAGTGGATTATTTCTGTCCCACAGGTTCTTTTATCACGTTTCTCCTGCTTAAACTGTAAGTTAAAGCCAATCTGCAAATATTTAATATTGCAGGAACATTATTTAGAGATAATCCTTCAAAACTTTGAGGGGGAACAGGTGTGCAGAAAAAGAACTAGAAGAAAACCAAAGAGAAGGAAGGTGACACTAGGAGACGATGAAGGGTAACTGGGAAATGTATCCTGAAGATCAATTTAAACAACAGCTACGAATAGGAGATAACTGAAAAACCACCTAACAGGAACAGTAAGACTAAGAATTCAATAACTTAGGGGAGGTTATGGCCTTGTGTTCTCTGAGAAGATTTCAAATACCTGGTTTGATCCCCACAGCTGGGTCCCTGAGCAAGACCCTTACGCCCACACTGCTCGCCGGATGCCACACAATGGCAGGCCCCTGCTCCCCAGGAGGATGGCTTAAATGCAGAGGCAAATTTCTCCAGTGTGAGATCAATTTTATAAATTATAAGTCATAACAGTAAATCCCAGTCAGCAGAATTGGGCTGGTGACTCGGATCAAAAATGATGAACTAAGGAACAAGCAGAGGTCGGCAATGCTTCATAGACAAGGGAAAAAAGTTTTCTGCAGGCTTGAAGTTTTGGAAAATACCCCTCTAATATTAAGATGTTGCATAGATGTTTGTGCACAACAGATGGCTTCTCTCGCTGTAACAGGCTGTTGACCAAGTAGCTTTCATCTGCTTCTGCAATCTTTCTGAGTCTATCAGTTAAAACTTACCTGAACTAAGTATAGCTCACATTAAATCCCATCTCTCACCTTGGACCTGCTGCATTTTATTAAACTGATGAAATTACTTGGTTAAGTTCAACTTCAGATCTACCATTTTATCTTAACAGGCAAGAAATCTGAACATATGAATCTGCTAAATGCATAAACATAAACATGTCCCATGAATAAAAGTGCCAGACCTTTCAGATCAAGGACTCTATATAGACAATAAACAAATGTACCATGAAATATTTAGATATAAGATTTATTTAATAAGTGATTTAAATATTGATAAAATATTTTTTGGGAATAATCATACCATAAAATACAAAATTAGATGTTTAAATGTCTCATTGAATAATTAAAAATACATTTATAAAGGCCTTTACTTCATGAAACGTAATTTTGAACCTGTATTTAGGATTCTTTAAATTAATTTACTTTTTATGTAGTATAGTAGAAGTATATTGGCCTAAACATTCTGTAGGGATTGATGGAACATCACTAGGTTGGTATTAATCTTATTTATCTGACAGATTTCATATTCATGTTAATGAGAAATCTTCCTAATGCTCCAGGGTAACCTGTGGAGTACCACAGGGATCAGTGCTAAGACCATTTCTCTTTACTATATACGTATATGCTCCCAATTGGTCGAATTATTAGACAGCATTGGATTAATTTCTACTGTTTTGTTCCTATCAGCACTTATTGCAAAAGTATATGTAAACAATTGGTGCTGTGAATAAACAGTCGGCAGTGCAAATCGATATTCAGTCAAGGTGAGTAGTGCAAGATGCATATAAAGAGGTGTTAAAATAGTAACAGTCAGGAGTGCAGGTGAACATTACAGTCTTGTAAAAAAGCAGAATAGCAAAATGGTGGTAGGTGTGAGGAAGGAGAGTAGAGTCTATCCGTGAGGGTTGGAGTTCAGTAAAGAGACATCTCTAGGAAAAAAGCCTAAAACACAGGTATTACTAATAACTGCTTAAGATGACCTTAAGAAAAATTTTAACAAAACTAATACAGAAGAGGGCGTCCCTTATAATATTATGTTGACCTCAGTTTGTTTTAATCATCAGGATATTTTCCACTGGTTCTGAACCAACTTATTATGGAGTAGATACTATATCTGGTTATTTTCAGAAGGTCCTTATGGCCACATGGCTCTCCTTAGCAAGCTGGGATACTTTGTTATGAAAGCAAAGTAAAACTGTGGCCAAGCAGCTGCTGCCCACTGAGCATTTCTACATATACTATGATTACACAACATACCCAGAAATGTCAGAGACGGTAGAGGGCTCAGTGTGTCCCTTAAAAGAAAGGTACCGATTCACAAACTAAATCCTGGTTTCAATTTGACAGAAGCTGTGAGAGGTCCTTGCACTGAATATTGTTCTGCTGTTGTGGGATTGCCCAATATCCATACTGCCTATATCCAGGGACTCAGTTTTACCACAGGAATTTCAGTGGTAATATGATCATAATTTCTGACAAGTTGAAGAGAAATAGACCCTGGATATTTCTCAGAACACTTATGCAACTGTGGATTAAAAAAGAAAAACGGTTTAGCTAGGCAAATATTTAAGACAGGACTTTTCTTCTAATTCTAATCTGACAGCTGAAATGAAAATGCTGCACACTCCTTTTTAAAATTAAATTATTTAGAGAAATATAACAATACCATGATAAAATGTTCCTAAATTTTTCACCTTTAATTGAACATAATTCCTTTACACTTAAAAAAAAACACTTTAGACCAAGTAATATAGAAAATTAAAAACAAGAACAACTTAGTTTCCTAATTGTGAACAGCCTTAAACTAGATATTACTTTCTTAAAGCTTGTTTTAAGCTATCAAAAAGGTCAGACTTGGTTTGGAGCTACCCTGAAGGTCAGATGTGACCGGCAGCTTTGTGATATTATTTATTTTGAATATTATTTATTTTTCTTTATCTGACAAAGAAATAACCACAGAGCATGATGGTCAAAGTGGTCCCTATGTCCTCCAGCAGTATAAGCCTATAGCAGCGTAACTATAGAGATAGCACTGGAAAACCGGGGCCCCTTATTTAGCACTAAAAGATGCTAAATAATTTGTTTCCTTGATTATTTTTGATCATTTAGTTTAATGTTGGTTAATACAAGCTAACAAAATGGATCTCATGGTAAGCCATGCTTACATTAGGAGGCGTTGTTTATATCGCTCAAACAAGCTTTATTTTACTTAAGGTTTAAAACACTAATATAACTTTTATGTGTTTCTTCCTTAGCTCATTACATTTTGATGTCCAAATTATGACCAAAAGTCATTTAATGGGAGTCCTCATGTTTGGTAGCTCAAAGACTCATATAACTAAAAATTTTCTTATTAAGAAAATCATTTAATTTGACTCTTGGATTTGCATTATTAACTGATTTGACAACAAATTAGTCAAAACTAATGTTATCATATTCCAAATTCTTCAAGGTAAACTATGGTTCTCAAATATAAACTCCATGGCAAACTGTGATTTAGTTGCATCATTTTGTTAATAATGGTTTTCAACCATTTTTTTCCCTTCTTCTTTTTTTTTTTTTTTACATATTAGCTTTGTTTAGTAGTTTAACTAATTTAGTCAAGAGTTTTTAACTGAAGTTTGCCTGACTTGGAGCTGATTGAATTTTGTTTATAAAATCTTATATTTTGAATGGAAGTTTTGGCGAATTTATTCTATATATGTGCAGAGTTAACTGTCTGACCATGATTTGAGCTCGATTTACTCCTTCTTTTGTTGTTCCAACGCACAGCCAGTAGGGTATGTGTACAAACAGTATATTTTAACATACTGAATATTATCTGATTAAATAACATATTTACCACCCCTGCAGTAGTGGGCAATAAATATATTAAAGTTGCACAACAGTAGTGATGCTCTGAGGGATTTTTTTCTCAGTCCTTATTATAATAAAATTGAGCAAGAGAAAAGCTGCTATAACATGTGTCTCGTAGATTCCCATGCTCTTACAGCTTTCTGAGGAGTGTACATTTTTCTGTATGTTTACAGAAACGGTTTAGGTCTACAGAATTAGCTTAAACTGCATTATTTCTGAGCTCATTAAAGGAATCATGCAAAGGACTAAACATGCTAATGTTAACCTGCCACTGTAAGCTCTCTGGAAGGAGTATGATTTGATTTTATGGAAATCTGCAGCTTTTTTGTTGAGTCAGCCATATCTTTGGAAACTTCTAATAAATCTACGAGAGGTTTGAGGGAAATTTTTATATCAGTGTTGACTCCATTTTGAAGGTACATGTTAGGGTTGTTTTGCAGAAAGTCTAGCTCCCAACAAGAGTCTGCAGCATCATGAACACCAGTAAGAAATTGTACTGCTACTGAGAGTTCAAGTATGGACATTGATTTATGCAATTATAACTCACTCACTTTAGATCACTGCATATTTTCTGAAAAAGAAAATGTTGGGCAAAACATCCTGATACACATTCCTCCGTCTTCTTCCTCTCCAGGGTAACAGAAGCTGGTGCCCATGGTCCACAATTAACGTTTTGACTCACTGGCCAAGTGGAATGGAAGATTATATAAATTACTGGCTAAGCATATTATAATTTACTCTCATATATTTTTTAAGGAACTATTATTTCTTTATGTAATGACTCAGAAAAGAGGAACCTAGTGTTTAGGCAACACAGACAGTGGAATAACTTCAAAAGCAGTGGCTGCGTCTGAGGCAGGTAACTCTGGCGAGAGGAAACACAGGTTAGTGACCATGAAAACCTGACAGAGGATGACCTGAACGCGTGAGTCACTAACCTGGTTTAGAGTTCAGTCCAAGTCCAGAGAACGAGGCAGATACCAGCTGGTCAGCTGGGATGGAGACCTCCAGCAGAAAAAGGTCAGTATTTGGGCACTTCTGATGAGGTCAGGTGAGGGTTCAAGGGGACACAAGATAAGACTTATAACTCAGATCCATAAATACCTTCTATGTTACAAAATGTAACGGTTAACCAGCCTCATGGGAGGCTCTGTCTAGCAAAGAAACAGTCAAGCTTGTGAGCCATATCAAAAGGAATGGAAGAGAAAAATTAAGCTGATTTCCCTGTGAAAAAAGCAGGTTAAGGTGTGTTTTTCCAAACACAGGTCGACCCGCTAACAATTGGCAGTCTGTGGGAGTGGGCTTTGAACTCAGAACCGCAGGATTCCAAGCTCTATGCCGTAACA